CTATATTTTTGGCTTAACCGTGGTTAGATATAGAAATTCTATTAATCTAGCTATAACCTAGCGGTTAGGTATAACTGACCCCATTAACCTAACCTAACCTGGCCAAATATCAGTCTACTAAATATATAAACAAAGTTATTCTTATATATTTCTTAATAAAGATATTATACTGTATATTTTTAATATATACTATATATTATATATTATATATCTTCTCTATATATTCTTTTATATACTATATTACATAATATTTATAGATATTTTTCTTATCTAGATCAGATATACTATATAAAAAATATATCCATAGTTATTAGATTAATATATATTCTTCAGTATTACTGTACTGATATCGAGAGACTTTATTATTATAATTTATTAAATATTGAGTCTCTCAATATTATTGCTTGGATAATATTCTATTGTTGATAATATTTACTGCTCTTAATATTACTGTAGCTAGTATATTATCTGTTGGTACTGCACTAGGCCGGGGTCCGTAACACTAGTTTACTATCTAGTATATTTAATAAAGATTAACTGTCCAACTTTTGGCTTAACTATAGTTAGATATAGAAATTCTATTAATCTAGCTATAATCTAGCGGTTAGGTATAACTGACCCCATTAACCTAACCTAACCTGGCCAAATGGCTGTCTAATAGCAGCTACTATTCTATTATATATTTAATCCAACTGTATATATTCTAAAAGGAATTCTGTCCAAAATCGGCCAATCAGTATCTATTCTTGGCTCCAGTTCGATCAATAACAGTAGCAATGGCCCACCCCTTCTGGATTAGGCTTGCCCTGGGCGCTTTTTCGCCGTCTATGAGATCAAGGCAATTCTGATCGAAATCCTCCGAAACTATGATATCCGTTTGAAAGATGGGATAAAACCAAAAACATGGAGCCGGGAGCTGCTCGTAAACCCCGACATTTCTACAATGATTGAAATTAAGAAGCGTACATCTTGAGTTTATTGGTGGGAAGAGATATGCATAACCCAGTCTATGCTCATGTTTAATCATAAGATAATTGAAAAATACCAGATCCGCGTGGTGGTGCCGCCTAGACTCTAGAACAATAGAAAGTTGAATAGGGAACTATGCTAATGATATGCCAATGGTTTTACCTAACACAAACTAGTGATCGAATTTAAGTATATGCCTAAAATAGGACATACCCAACCATGTCGCTCTAAATGCTACGTCCTTTTACGTTGCTGCATATTACACATCGATCACACAACAGGACGGCTGATAAGCCATCCAGAATAGGCGTAGTGGAATCGCCATCTTTATATTCTGGCGACTTTTATTATTCCAAGCTTGTGGGACCTTTTTACTTATAAAGTCCCTGTGTCTTCCGCAGCAACCTCCCAAACTCTTTCGTAAGTCGAGAGTTATCCTTCACTCTAAAGATCCAAAATGTTCTAGTACACATCCTCTTTTACCTTGCCGAGTATATCCTCACACGTTCTCGCTTCATTTTGTCTTTTGATAGTGTTCTTAGTTGTGTGCCTGCAGCAACGCTCTCAAAGACGCCGTCTTTCTATAGCCAATCCAGGAGGATGGCTTGGCCTATCTGCTATAGGAGCAAAAGCAAGTTTTGTTCAAAATGCGAGAGGAGTTTTCGACAATATCATGACCTCTTCCGGGAGGCAAAACTTTGAAGTGAATTCCGAGTTTGGTCCCCTGACAGTCTTACTCTCGGAGTTTACTCAGGAGATTGGAAATAACCCAAAATTCAGCTTTTCTCGCTTTATGACGCAGGTGAGAATAGTCATTACTTATGGAGCGGGAACTCGAACTGAGATGTGAGAAAATTGTCCAGCATACGATGTCAAATTATCCGGGCTTTGAGGTGTTTTCGGAGGGTGCTCACGATTCTGAGCTTCTCAAGAGGGTCATTCGGTCGCATCTAAGCAAAGGTCTAGGTAAGGAAGCAATATAATCTCCGAGACATACCTACAGCTCTTCGAACCTGACTTCTTGTATAGAAAGTTTGACCGTACCTATATCAGACGAAACCACTTTTGCCATCTCTCAAACATTCACGGATAGAAAAGGTACAGTTGTAAGTTTGTTCTTGTGAGTTAGGCTGCGTCTAATACGCGGGTGATGTTAGATTGGCATGCTATACCTTTGAAACATATGGTTATGGAAATCGTGGTCCGTATCTCGTCGCGCATTTTCACGGGCCCAGAGCTCTGTCGTGATCCTGAGTGGCTGCAGATTTCTATTCAGTATACTATCAGTGCCATGCGAGCTGTGCATGAATTACGCCGTTATCATCCTTTGGCTCGCCCTATCATGCATTGGTATCTCTCGTCTTGTGGAGTGCTGCGGCGGATGATTGAAAAGACTCGCATGATTATGAACCGTGTCATCGAAAACCGACAGCTAGAACAATACAGAAAAGGAAGAATAGATCACAATGATGCTCTCGAGTGGTTTGAACAGAACGCGAAAGGTCAAGCTTATGATCCAGCGATTACCCAGCTTGTTCTAATGTTTGTCTCGGCCCACACGACCACAGATCTGTTAACGCAGGTCATTTTGGATCTAGCCAGGAACCAGGAATGGATCGAACCCTTACGTGCAGAGGTCCAGGCCGAGCTTGCAAAAAACGGCCGGGGAGGTTTCTCACCACATAATCTCAAGCTCCTCGACAGCGTGATCAAGGAAACCCAAAGACTCAAGCCCATCGGTATCAGTATGTTCAATATGCTTCAATTACCATCGTTCTGGGTATACTCCCTAACTCATAAAACCATGATGCTTACTTCTATTTTAAAGCCAGCATGAGGCGCATTGCAACAGAGACTGTACAGCTGTCAGATGGTACCAGCATTGCCAAAGGGACATCTTTGATGGTCCTAGCAGATCGGCACTGGGATCACTTCCTTTACAACGATGCGAATCGATTTCAGGGCGACAGATTCCTTCGCAAGCGAGCCGAAAGAGGGAATGATGCTGCGGCGAGCCTGGTCGGTATCAGCCCTGACCATCTCGGCTTTGGATACGGGCTTCATGCCTGTCCAGGTCGGTTCTTTGCTGCACTCGAGGTCAAGATCGTCATGTGTCATATCCTACTAAAGTATAACTGGAAGCTTCCGGTAGGGGAGGATCCACAGCCACAGAAGTTAGGGGTCTTCCTAGATTCTGATCCAGTGGCCGTTGTAAACATCCAGAGACGTGATGAGGAAGTGAAGCTATAGCTCAAGGGCCATAATCATTGCTCATTGCCAGGAATACACGTATATTGATAGTCTCAACTTTACAGTCAATATAGGAGACCCGATACACATATTCTTCTTTGTTCAAATATAGAATAGAACGGCAAGCGACCGCGCGAGAATGACATACCCTCGACTCTTCGGCCAGATAACCCAGAAAATGCGATGGACTAACGTCTTCCGGAGGCCGCCTTCTGTCTTTTCTCGATAGCATATCTCCAACTCCTATTGAAGCCTGCGGTAATGGCGCTTTTTATGCTTTGGGTGAAGCTCGGCCACCTTACTGTCTTCTGAATTGCGCGTTTAATCTCCTGTCGAAGGTCGTTATCCTGGGCTAGTTGTACGTCGAAGGAGCCAGGAAGTCCCTGTCCTGATTCCTTGTTGCCCTCATTGTCAGCTTCGTGTGGAATAGGGTGGTTGATTCCTAGTGAAGTCCCCAGTCTTCTCTCAGACTGTGAATAGACCTTTGCACGAAAAGCGCTGGGGAGATTCCGGACCAAACGTCCACGAACGGTGGGATCCAAATTTTGCTGAAGCTTACTGCTCCTAGCAAGATTTATGATAGCCGATTGGTAGCTGATAGTCGATATATTGCTCATTGCCTTCAGCAAAGGATTATAAAGCTTCCGAAAGTCATCCAACTGGTGCTCTATCATGTTCTGAACCTTCTGTGGATTGTCACCTCCTACTGACATCCGCGGGTCGCCCAGGTATGATATACCTGCTATCGTTGTATAAAGCTCTTGCTCGGTGAATGTCTCTGGAAGCAGTAAAAGTGCAACATTAATTGCAGACAATAGATTGGCTTGGTTAGCCTCTTGCACGCGTGAGTTATTCCAGATAGTTCTTGTAGGCTTCTGCAGCCGCCCAGCAATATAGAGGGTGTCCCAGGTCAATAGGTCTCGGCAGATAGTATCCATATTGGTAACACCGTACTTGATAAGAGTTCCATTCACTGTAACGAAAGGATGAAAGTATACCCCGGCCCCAAACGCGTCTTGACACTGTGCTACTGCAAACTTCCCTAGGTTGCCTAGTCCCCCGTAATGATCTCTGTACTGCTGCAAATTGAGCTCATGCCACTGTTCTGAGGACGAGACTCCGAAAATAAAGTCTATCATTGTCTCGTTTCCTCCCTGCATCTGCTTGATTGCATTGGGAGGGTCCACATGGATAATGGGACCCGGACAGGACGACTTGGCGCTCTGCGGAAATACGCCTGAACCGTACGCAAAGGCATATGCCATTGGTGCCTCAAACTTGGCGACAATAGCTTTCAGCTCATTCGCAAACAATTCATCACATGATGTAGGTTCGGGCCCGGACGCTTTCTCTCGCATAGCATGATGAAGCCCTGTGGTGAAAGGACGAGCCCGATCGCTCAGGAAGTGGAAAGGGGCTTCGATACAACACCTTCCCGAGATGCCTCCGCTGAAAAATCGAGGGCGAACAAAGATAACCATGATATACTATGTACCTCCCAGGTAACGAGCAAACAAAAAAAATAAAAAAGATTGAAATGGCCAGAGAGAGTTATGTGGCAGCAGGAAACTGTCGATGAATACTTTGCTTCACAATAAAAATTCTTCTGCGGCGGTGTGACAGTGGATTATTAAGGCAGACTACTAACTAGTAACGTATTCGGAAAGCGAGCGTTCCACGTAACCGAGCGTTCCAACCCCGTATCCCATATAAAAGAGTCCTTTTTATATTCCAAATATCCCAACAGTGATAAATATCCAATACTTTATTTACTAATATACTTTATATATTAGATCTTAGAGCTTTAATAGACCTTTTTTAATATACTTTAGACTGTTATAATATAGGATTTAATAAAATATACAATAATATATGCTGCAGTTACTATATTAAGAAATTTATAGAGATAAAGAGCCTTATATCTAGTCTATTAGATAATTATATAGTTTAAAACTCTTGGTACAAGAGTACTGCTTCTCTGGACTTCTTGTTATTGAGATATCCAATATATAAAAGTGGCCATTTTATATGGGATACGGGGTTGGTAGGCCAAGGAAAGGACCGTTACCGATGGCCTCGAGAACGAATTTGGTCGCGCCTCCTGTGCCAGCGCCTACCTCAAAGATCTTGGCCCTTGGGTAGACGTGTGTGAACTGGGAGACCATTCTGCCCAAGGACTCGTTGTAAACCTGAAAGCCAAGCCCATATTTGTAAAACTCGTCCAGCAAGCCGTCCTTCATCATATGTTCAATCATCGTTGACTGACGTCGAACGGCAGATGGAAGAGCCTCGCCCACGGTTCTCACCAGGCGGAAATCCACGGAGTCAGCATGCGCTTCGAAGAGAGCATCGATCTGTGTCTGGGTGTCATTACGCCACTCTGACTGGATATAGGGATGCTTTCCGGCATCAACGAGAGACAAGGTCCAATTAATCGAATCCCGCAGGCGTTGAAAATGCCACTCAGGCTTTGTCCAGTCTGCCTCAGTAAGTTCGTAGATCCACTTTCTGTAGTAGAAGAAGGCAAATCTTTCACGAACAATGCCAAGCTGCATGTCATTCGTTGATGGTTTCAGTTCGCCAAGAGCCAGTTCCCCATCTGGAGCTGCGACGCCGAGCTTGTTGTATGAGAAAACAGTGCGATCGTCGGAAACCGTGGCCATCGAGACGGGCACAACAGCAGCGCCTTGGACCTGGATCATAGCGTGTTGCTCGTCCGCGCTGAGTATGTCTAGATTGCCACGAATCGAGTCGACAGTGTTCGCCTCAGGGGCAAGGAGTTGAGCTCGCACCGGAAGCTGAACTGAGTGCAAAGGTAGGGTAGCACAGAGTTCTGGATTCACACGGATACACTCGAAGATCGTTGGGACGTGCAAAGACCACAAGCGTCCATCACCAGGCGCCGAGTATGCCAAGATAGCACTCTGGAAAGCCACGTCAAGCAGCGCGGGGTGAACCATTAACCCTTCAGATTCATCACCGTAGTCGAAGCTAGATATCAGAGCAGTAGCCTGATTGAGCTTGCGCTTCAAGTTTGCCATAGTGCGGAAAGAGTCAGAGTATCCATACCCAATGGTTGAGAGGGAAGTATAGAATCTCTCCGAGTCGGTCTCGGTCATATTCGAGTCATCCAGCTGGATTGGTGGCAGGACCGACATCGAAGGCTCACCGAAGATCACGTTTATTGTACCGCTGGCGTTGACTTCAAGGTCTCGCGCCGACTTGATAGCAGCGGAGTAAACGGAGAATTTCGCTGCCCGAGTTTTCAGATTCGATTTGCTTGGAGTAATATCCGTTAGAGTTACCAGAGTCTCAGCGGCAGGATCGGATTCGCCTCCAAAGGTGATGGCTTTTCCGATGACCAGATCTCGCAATTCGATCAATTTGATAGGCCTGTTTCCAATGATATACTTGGTTGCCTCAAAGGCCATGCTGGCGTAGCCAGCTGCTGGAAATACCGGCTCACCCTGCAGCTTATGGCCCGTCAGCCAAGGTACCTCTGGGATTTTAAGCACATTCGACCAGCGACGCTCGAGCTCAGTATTGTCAACATGAGGTACACCGAGCAGCTCGTGGAATGGGTCCGATCGACTTCTCATCCTACGTGCGATGCGAGACTCCTGCCAGTGGGTCTTTTGGTCCCAGTGGTAGGAAGGCAGACTAGTGGCGAGCTTGGCCTTCGGAGCGTCAAGGAAAAGTCGCTCGAAGGCAGCGAAGTTAACAGCCTCAGGGCCGAATTGGGTCCACATATAGCCCAGACCATCGGCGAATGCTTCAATATCGTTGAGACCTCTGTACATAACACCGGTGTAGGGAAGGTTGAGGCCAGTTTCGGCAATGTTCTGCTGTGTTGGGCCCTTGAGAGCAGCGTGAGGCCCAATCTCGATGGCAAGAGTCGGCTTCTCAGCTCGAGCTGCTGCCGTCACAGCTTCATAGAAGGAGACTCTGTGTACCATGGTGTTACGCCAATATAAATCTTGAAGTAGTGTAGTCGGCTCCATGACCTCATCCCCTGTCACACTGGAGTACCAGGTCACAGAGGCATCGCCGCAAGCCAGCATATGGTGTGAGTGGTAAGCGGTGTCGACCTTAAGTAGACGTGCGAACTTCTTTTCCTCTTCGAAGACAGCCTTGACCTCAACGATAGCATCTGCATCGCCCGACAAGGTAACGCTTGCTGGGGAGTTGTGTGCAGCGACCGCGACACGTCCAACAAAGGCGTCAAGCTCAATCACTTTAGTGGCATCTTCGAGAGATGTTCCAACAGCAAGCATAGCGCCTTTGTGTCCGCTCGATCCGCCTGCAAGCTTCGCGTAAAAGCCACGGTAGTAGGCAATTCGAATAGCATCCCGGGCATTGATGAAGTTTGCAGCATATGCCGCACCAATCTCACCAGAGGAGTGACCCACCACAGAACTTAGCATAATCCCGGCGCTGCGCAAGAGGTCAACGAGCACAATTTGGACTGCTGTACACAGCGGCTTCGGTGATACAAGACGACTTGGCATCAAGGAGTAATTGGTCAGCAATTTTCCAGGTCGGTCGGTCTGTAGCTGGCAAGGTTGCCAGGGCACCATCAAGCTCCTGCAATCGGCGGCGAACAAATTCGGAGGAACGTATTAGTTCAGCACCCATGGCTGGCCATTGCGCGCCCTGACCAGTGAAAACACCAAAGACCTTTGGGGGCGTTGAACTCGATCGGACGCCAATGTTCGCGTCCGACTTATCCTCGTACTCTTTGAGTCTGAGCTCCATCTTCCGGATCAAGCTTTTGACGTCAGGAGCCGAGAATGCGATTTTATGTGAGAAAGTAGAACGACGCTGCTGGAGTGTCCAGGCAAGATCCCGCATGTTGACTGGGTTGGTTTTTAGATAGTCCAAGTGTGCCTGCAGACTGGAAACGAGCGAGGTGTTTGACGCTGCGGAGAAGACAAAGGGAGTAGCCGGTACAACCAGGGCGCTGCTAGAGTTGTCAACCTGTGCTTGGTAGCTCTCCAAGATGGCGTGAGAATTGGCGCCGCCGAAACCAAAACTATTCACACTTGCCCTTCGCACAGCATCTTTAGGCAGGACAGGCCATGGCATTGCATGAGTTGGAACCTGCAGGCCCTGAATGAAAGGTTCAATGCTCGGGTTAAGGCGATTGAACAGCAGATTAGGGGGAATGACGCCAGCTTGAAGGGATAGCGACGCTTTGAGTAGACTGGCTATTCCAGCAGCACCCTCTGTGTGACCAATGACGGTCTTGATCGACCCAACATACAAAGGATCACTGTCAAGTCCTCCAAAGATGGAGTGGATTGCGGCTTTTTCCTTAGGGTCTCCTACCTTGTACCGGTACCACATGCCTCAAAAAACTGGGGTCTGTCGGCGGGATTTGCAAGGTCAAGGCCAGCTCGAGCATAGGTGCGGCGGATAAGTGCAGCTTGCGCCTCCGAGCTTGGTACAGTGATTCCCTGTGTGCGGCCATCTTGGTTGATGCCAGTCTCACGGATGATACATTCGATGTGGTCGCCATCAGCAAGAGCATTGGTCAGCTTCTTAAGAACAACGGTCGCGATACCGTCGCCGCGAGCATAGCCGTCAGCATCAGCATCCCATATGCGGGATCTGCCTGTGGGCGACAGCATGTGCATGTTACTCTCGGCCACATACATTTCTAGAATCCGTTAGCTTGATCGCTCGGTGTGCAGAATTAGCTTACCAGGGCCTAGAAGCAGAGTACTGCCACATGCAATAGCAACTCTCGAGTCGTTAGACCGTAGTGCTTGAACAGCATTATGCACAGCGATCATACTCGAAGAGCATGCTGTGTCGATAGTCATAGACGGTCCACGCCAATCGAAAAAGTAAGAGATTCGGTTTGAAAGAATTGCGCGCGATGTGCCCGTCGCAAAGTATGTTGGCATCTCTGAGAAGGCTGGTTTCATGGTCCCCTCCCATAACACCAACATAGACGGCAGTGTCAGAGCCACGTAAAGACTGGATGGTGTGGCCACCAGCTTCAAGGGCCTCGTAGACAGTTTCCAGCAAGAGGCGCTGCTGAGGGTCAATGGACTCAGCCTCACCTGCACTAATGCCAAAGAGGTTGGCATCAAACTTGGTAAGATTCTCCTCCAGGGTGTAGGAGTGTAGAACATTGGACGTGCCATGGTGATCCCCGTCTCTGTGGTACCAGCCTCGCACATCAAAACGTTCTTTAGGTATCTCCGTCAAGATGTCACGTGGACTTTCCAGTAGCTGCCAGAGAGCAGCAGGAGAATTGGCAGCACCGGGGAAACGGCAACCGCTGCCAACAATAGCGATGGGCTCGGATCGTTGATAATCCATATTGTACAAAGATGAATGATATAATATGTGAAATGCAGGGAATAACAAGTTCGACGACGTTGGAACCAAATGCGAGGACCCAAGTAGGTACCACGTCCTTCTTAAGAGTATAGAAATTTTATGGAGCGAGCGATATCATGGAGCAAGATATTGACCCTAAAAGCGATTCCATTTTCATTGGCTGTTAAACATCCGAAGCGGCAAGCCTTGACAGCCTCAAGTTTACACCATCCCTATGATGGATCCTTTTCCCAACAGGTGAAGGATCTCGATCGGTTAGAATACATGGCTTAGGTGTTAATAAGTCGAAGGATCTGGCTGACTTGCGAGGTCCTTGAAAAAGGAATTAGAAACCAACACACATGTCTTGTTGGGTGCCAACGAGAGCGAACGTGATTCCCGAACGATTGGCTTGCTTTGACCTCAGTTCCTGTGACAGGGGTTGGGAAGAGCGATTGGCCCTCGAGCAGAAGATACAGCACAGTTATACAGAGCGCGACATGGTTACATTGCAGCACAATTTTGAGCTTGAGCACAAGTAGACCTTAAAAAGATCCGTTCTGATCTGTAGCCGGATCCGCCCCGATCAGTTGAAAGTGGCAATTGTATACCAAATACAGTGTGCTGTAGATAACAATGGTTAAAGATAGATTCATAAAATACAAAACTACTTTAGTAGATCCTCGGAAAGGTCTGTGCGGTCTTGCGTGGGCCGAAACTGTTCATGCGGTCGGTCATGAGAGTCAATGCGAGCTAATTGGAAATCAGTGCGACGGCCCGACAGAGTGGAAGCCAATTAGCTCTATAGGAGACCTTATTTCTTTCCCCACCTAAGCGCAGTGAGGGGCAAACACCAAACAGGTTATTAATGCTTCGCCCAGAAAACAAGGCTTATCATGCCAGTGCTCGGATATACCCGTGTTCTTCGTTTCCTTGTGCTCACCACTAATCGAAAGAGAGTAATCCTTAAAACGGCTTCCTTTATGGCGAAATTTCGCAAACAATAAACAGGAAAAGTAAAGACATTTCTGAGCAACTTCCGGTCTGCTATTTTCTTTGGATCGTTTCATAGCACGGAGCAACACAAGCGTGGCAGCTAGAGTTGGCCGCTGGGCCCCGGTCACTCGGAAAAGAGTGGTGCTCCAATGTTACATTCTATCCCTGTATGAGTGATGTATAATGACTGTGCCGCAATCAACAGAACAATATTTGGCTGGTCTGAGTGTGGATCTGAATTGAAGCAGGAGGCCAAAAGCAGGAGCCCTTTGTCCTGGGTTGTTTCGCCGACTAAAAGCCTCCAACATGGAACAATTACTGGCCAACAATGATGCTCTTGCTCGGAGGGGTACCTCTTGTCAACCCCTGATCAAATGCACCCCTAACGCAAGAGCGCCTGGAGCAAATACATTTCAATGTTCAGACTTAAATGCACACCATCTATGGAACAAATAGCCAAGAAAACAGAGAACTTATTGTTTCCCCAGAGACTGGAAATCAAGTCACTGGTATCAATGAGTATCTTTCTCTTTCGAAGTATATTTATTAGAGCAATCGCAGTCCCCGGTAAGTATGACTAATTTATTTGGGCAGTGGTATAGTTATGGTCTAAAATCTGACAATATACGAGGTATACAGGGTATTTATGGTTTGTTAATTTGTATTCTGTATCGCACTTGACCGTAGTTTTATATGTTGGATTGGTTTGACCGGGGTATGGTATGGAGTCGAGAGGTTGATCCGCAGTGGCCAGACCAATGATCAACACGGGGGAGCTGGCCGTCATAGGCCCGTGGAGACAGGAAGGAAAAATCTCTTTTTCGTTCACAATCTACACCCACACAAGCCGCAAGAAAAAAGGAGAAAAACTGGACCATGTTGGGGTCCAAATTGGTCGGAAGGGAGCCATACATTTCCTGGGTTGAGTTAGGTATCCTGGTTCCCGGGACAGGGGTTGGGAAGAGCAATTGGCTCTCGAGTAGAAGATGCCGAAAGAACATCCCGTGCAAGGCTCGCAAATCATGCCAGATCGTTCGACTTATTAACACCCATATTTAGACCAGCATCTGCGCCACCGCTTAGTAGCGGTGTTAATAGGTCGGAGGATCTAGCAAGTCATGCCAGATTATTCGACTTATTAACACCTATATTTAGACCAACATCCCTGTCACCAACACCCATCGAGCGATGCACCCCCTCGTGGAGCCGAACAGCGATCCCGCGTTGCTACCGGGAGAGGCATTGGGCCTTGGGTGATTATGTATACGATAGTAGATAAATTACTATTCACATACCGACTATTCTGTCACATGGCTCCGCTCATGACACCTGCTGTTGAACCAAGCAAATGGAAAGCAGTTCGACCAGACCAACGCCGGCAAAACGAGCCTCATGCGATCGCTGTCATCTTCAGAAAATCAGATGCCCTCGACCGGATTCCGACGATGTGAGCAGCTGTGCCCGATGCCGATATCTCGGGATACAATGTGTCTATAGCGCGCCATCACCAAGGGGACGGCCAAGCGGAAGCAGGAAGTCGACCAGCAACAGCTATAGAACGCCGGAGGTACCTCTTCTGCCCCGGCCCTCGCAAACTACCCCGGAACCAATAGACAACCAGGAAACGATATCTGACGAGCTCCGATCAGTACTGGTGTCTCAAAATTATGGCTATCCGGCAGGGACCTGGTTTGAGTCGGATCCATGGTCCTTGTTAGGGACTGCAGCTGATAGGGGATCATTCGCTGATCTTACCATGGAAACAGCATCAACATACACCCCAAGCGCCTCATCTGCTGAGCTATCCCACGATGACATTTTCACAGATTCGATGCAGCAGCTGGCAGCGCTAAGTTGCAGCCTCTATACGCTTCACACCACGTGCCGCAACGAGATCGCCAGCCTGGGGCTCCAGCCCCAGCTCGTCTCTCATACGAACGCCTTCAATTCCTTGGCGACTTTACTGAGAGCCCTACCGAGCCTTGACGAATACGAGATATACACGGAAGCCTGTCTCGCATCAAAGAGTTTGCTCCTGGTCATGTATCGGCTTCGGCTCTTCGACTCCCCGAATGATGAGGTTTTACCGGCTGCCCTGCAGCATCTTCTCTCTGCGTGTTATGTCCAACTCCTCCACGTGCATACGATTCTGGTCAGGCTTATGTCATATGAGGCGTCGAACTCACCGGACTTTCATCAAGGCGACCCCTTCTCCTTCGCCCGGCTTCGTCTGGTGGTCATCTACTACCTTGTCAAGCATCTGCTGGAACACCTGCGGCGTGGCTATGGTGCATATGGTCTGACAGTGGCACGGTCGGGCTATCAGCCAACTACCAATACAGGATCTCACGAAATCAGTCAGGCTGAACACAACCTATGGAACGACCTCCAGGAGTTGGAAATCTGTCTTTCCCCAGGATTACAGATGCCTTCGGCTCATGAATCTGCCGAGTAGCTTGTAATGACTTTCTGTTGAACTTTATGGCGAGCTAACGTATTCGGTGAGCGAGCCCGCCACTTTCTCTCCCACAGCGCACCCTACATTGATTTGAGACCATTATTTCTCACCAACAACAATAAATACATTCAATAAATTAAGTACTGGTACGACAAGGGCATTGAGGCCTTCTATGCCCGAGTAGACTGGCGTTTGGCCAGGTTAGGTTATGGCTAGGTTATATATATATATTGTACCGTCTGTATTTAAACGCGGGTTGTAACTGTATCCAGAGTTATAGAATACTACAGTATTTCAAATGTTCGACAGAAGAAAATATATATATACAACCCCTATATTTCTTTTTCTTAAAAATTGTTGTAAATAGTATATTTGCTAATCTTTTTCCTAGATACTCGCAAGAATAATCTATGTGTCTTTTGGAAGTGCAATCAATATGAGTTCCCAATTCTTGTAGATCCTTCGACCTATTAACACGGCTACTACGCGGTGGTGCAGATGTTGGTCTAAATATAGGTGTTAATAAGTCGAAGGACCTGGCATGATTCCCGAACAAGCTGACAAGAGTAGCTACTAGGTGAGTTATAGATAACGGCCTATAAGGTGGAAACAGTGAGCAATGATTTTATAAGGATCTCATCTCGGACACGTGGAGGGATTGACATTGATAGCTTGGGGTCTCACACCAGATTCAGGTGTTGAGTCCAAACCTTGTATGAAAGACATGCTATAATATGGCACAGCGAGCCTGGTAGTGCAGAGGCTTGCGGTATACTGATGTGTGGAGGTTGTGCGGAAGAGGTCATGAATCACCGATATGGCACGCTGTCCTATTGAGTGCTACAGACGACAGCACACACTTATCTAGCTAGGAACGTCCATAGAGCTCCATTTCTAATTCATCCTTTTACCCATATATCATCCCTGCCACGTCCACATCTACCGCACTACAGTAACGATAAGTCTCGTGCGAAGTATCTCAGTCGAGTATCGATCATATTTAGGGCATATCACACGCAGCAACATCGGAACACGCGGGCATTATATCTAGCTGGACTTCTCGACAAGCGTCTCAGTCGACGCGGATAACCAGCTTCTGTCCTGAGATCGCCTTAGTACGAATTATGTCCACACCCTGGATGACACCGGCCCAGCTGTCGGCTAAAACTCTGACTGGGTGAGATTTGATGCGACCGTTGTCCAGAAATGTTTGTATAGCCGCAAAGATCTTCGCACTCAGGGCCCGATCTGCGGCTGATGCTTCGCGCGCGTACTCACCATCCAACGCGACGCGACCGCCGAACATGGTCAGGACCATCACCCACGAAGCGCGGACGGTCGGGCGCGCGGCTGCCACGGCTTGGCGGACGGGCTCGACCCCGCAATAGCGCCCGCCAGCCCTACCAATTGCGCCATAGCACAACTGGGCGCTGTCTGACTCAGACACGCAGTCGAGCGCGTACGCCAGGCCGTTGCGTGTGTAAGCACGGATCTCTTTGGCGCAGTTCGGACTGCGGTAATTAAATACCTTTTCGGCTCCAAATCCAAGGACCAGTGCGAAATTCGACGGCGAGCAAGTTGCAATTGGCCGTAATCCTGCCCTGCACAGTCCTGTCATCAGCGAGCCATTTCCAGTCCGACGAAACCAAACGCGAACGCTCAAGAGCATACAGCTTGAGAAGTTGAATGGCCCTGGTGCCAGTGGCGGCGCTGCCTCCAGATACAAGGACCCAGGCCGCATTCGGTGTGACATCCGAACCCGGCCCGGCCCTGTCGATCAGATCCTCGATACGCATGGGGATCTCTAATTCGCGGAACAAGGCAAGACCCACGGTGGCCAAGCCGATGCCGAGAGTGGATGCCTCCTCGAAAGTCATCGTGTCAGGAATCTTGAGGAGCAGCTCAGCGGTCGCTCCAACATACTGTGCAAAGGCACCGACACGGGGCTCCAGGGAGTTGTTCCTATGGACGGCCCCAGCAACCCTGTCTCCGATGGAAAGATGACGCGGGGCGTCCGAGCCGAGTGCGACAACGACCGCGGCGAAGTCGCATCCATGAATAGCACCAACTGCTGGACTGTAATCGAGCATCTTGGCGTCGACGGGATTAATAGCGACAGCAACAGTGCGAACAAGGGCCATACCAGGGGCCACGTGGGGCAGAGGCCCATCTTGGTACTGAGAAAGATGGCCCGGGCCGGCAACCACCAAGGCATTCTGGCGCCCTGGGGTTGCAAAGGCGGAGGCGACCGAAGACATTACGTAAGATTAGACGCAGAACACAGCTATGATCCCTCTTGGAACATCCATCCGCGGATAGCAACGTTCTTGGCGCACCGGACGGCCCAATTTATCTTGATTCTTGTTAATCACGAATAGAAAGGCCCATATACTGACATGCGCGTGGTTGTCTATTCAAAAATATAAAAAGTCGAAAAAGGACATACAACAGGAGGGATTCGCTGGTGGTCACCCACCCAACTACTAACCTCCCGGCGTGTGGCTTAAGTACGGCTGAGCGGACGGGAAGCCCTGTTCTCCACACCCTATGGTCGTATGTACTGGTTGCATCTAAGTAGTGGACTATATAGTGCAAGGGAGCTAGGTGCGATAGTGTCATGGCAGGCCGGAAGCTTCTCTCGCACTTATCTGCACAATGGGAATCGCCAGGGCGCAGCAGAACAGAGTCTAATATATGATAAGCCCTAAGTTACATCGTCGTGAGGAAGTAGCACTGCTATTGGTGGCACTCCTGTGGCATGCAGCTGATGCTCGAAGTCGCCGGTCATCGTCAGTGGAGCTCCTCATCTAAATGGCGGAAAAGCGCCGAACGTCAGAGAGAGCAAGGAAACCCATAGCGCCAGATCACTTTCCGTAGACAGCATAATCTGGAATAGCAATTTATCTGCAGCCGCATATCCAGATCAAATGGTCTCTCCCAGTACCTTGCCAACTCGGTTAAACATCAAAAAGTGTCGCCTTGCTGCTGTCACGCGAATCACGTGATAATACTCTCCTTCCCGTTATTGCCCCAAACTATATGGCGGCGCTTTGACATGGATCCAGCTGTGTCGAGCAACTCAGAACCTGAGAGGACGATGCAACAACGAGAAACTACTGAGGCTCGGTCTGAAAATGCAGAAATTCAATCACAAGATGATGGCGGGGACTACACGCCATGCAGAAACATGATCCCCATCATGATGGCACTCTGCGTCGCGTCGTTCCTTGCTATTCTTGACATCTCCTTCGTCACAACCGCCTTGCCGACAATTTCTGGGCACTTCCAGGCTTCTCAAATCAGCTACTCATGGGTTGGTTCGTCTTACCTCGTAACCCAGTCCGCTTTGGCTCCGTTTTGGGGCAAGGTGAGCGACATTTTTGGACGCAAGCCAATTGTGTTACTGGCAACGTTCGTCTTTTTCATTGGAAGCTTGGTTTGTGCCGTAGCAAATAGCATTGCCGTGCTTATTGCTGGGCGTGCTATTCAAGGTGCTGGAGCCGGCGGCGTGATGCTCATCATGACGATTCTAATAGGAGATCTCGTCAGTCCAAGGTAAGTGACATTGTGAATTCCAGCTATGAAATTACTTTATGCCTCCAAAGACTGCTCCTTAGAATGCGCTGACCCACTTCCTAAAGAACGCGGACTATATTTTGGTATCCTCGGTGGGGTATATGCTATCGCAATATCTTCCGGTCCTCTCATAGGAGGAGCACTTGCGGAAAATATCGGCTGGAGATGGTGCTTCTATATCAACCTACCGTTCCAGGGAATCGCTTTTGCCCTCCTGGTCTTTTTCCTCCACGTTCACGATCCCCGTACCGAAATTATCAAAGGCTTAATGGCTGTTGATTGGCTGGGATCGATTGCTATTACAGGTTCGGTCCTTATGCTTCTCCTGGGCCTCCAGTATGGCGGTGAGGTATATTCTTGGAGCTCTGCCATTGTCGTGTGTTTGATACTTTTCGGCGTGTTGGTTTGTGTTATCTTTGTTGGCATCGAGTGGAAGCTGGCCCGTTACCCGGTGCTCCCTCTACGACTATTCACGACTCGCCCTATTATCGCACTTTTCGTGGTGGATCTCACGCACGGATTCCTTTTGTACGGCACGGCCTACTTTGTCCCATTCTACTTCCAGGTAGTTGTTGGAGCAACACCAATTGACTCGGCGGTCTGGTCCCTTCCTCTCGCCATTCCCCTGTCTTTCTTCACCATCGGGACAGGTCTTTATATGCGGAAGACGGGAAAGTACTTGTACATGATCATTGCAGGGATGGCTGTCTCCACTCTGGGCACCGGTCTGTTGATCGATTTCGGTGCAGAAATCAATTGGCCAAAGATCATCATCTATCAACTGATTATCGCCGTCGGCCTGGGGCCCAACTTTCAGGCACCGACCATTGCCCTGCAAGCAAGGTTTCCGCCCGCCGACGCGGGCGTCGCCGTCTCCGCGGCCAGTGCAATCCGCGCACTCAGCGCCGCCTTCAGCATCGTCCTGGGCGGCGTCATTCTTGAAAATCGACTCTCGGCACAAAGCGGTCGTCTCATTGTTTCTGGAGTCAGCCCTACGATGGCGGAAGCAATTGCACGGAATGGCGCAGCTGGATCTGTGGACCTCGTTGCACAGCTCACTCCGCCCCAGCAGAACATTTTCAGGTTGCTTGTAAAGGACAGTCTTGCTGATATGTGGATCTTCTTCGTCGTTCTTTCCGGGATTGGACTCATTGCATCTTTCCTCGTTGGAAGCGAGAAACTTTCCGATGAGCATGTTGAACACAAGACAGGTTTGGGAGTGGAAGAGGCAAATCGATTGGTGCATGAAAAGCCGCGGGCCACTGAGCCAGAAATCGCTGAGATGACTTGAAAACACTCCACAACTTGGAGGAGTGCGATACCTCACCAACGCTGGTGACGCATCTTCTGCTTTTTGGCATTTGACAAGAATGCGCATGATTTGTACTATCTTGAAGTTGGAAGAGGAAACAAATTGCCAAAGGAGATTGCTCGGAAATATCGCAAGCGATTGAACTTATCGACCGCATTATCAGGTCCAGCGTCACTGTGCAATTGTTTCAATCGTAGGGCAAGAAGGACAGAATGAAGCTATATCAGCTACACATACGCAGCTTACTGAGGAACGCATGCCATTCGGTAGATACTCAATACTATATGTAACCTCTTACTTGCTTCTCTTCTCGGGATCAAATCCTCAGGGGTTTCGGAATAGGTGATCTGCCAAGCCATTAGGAAGGTCCTACATACTTTCATATCAGCAATAGGCTAAACCTGTCAGAAACCTGAAGTACCACTTATATACCTCGAAGAGGACCTCTATTCGATCGTACAAGCTCTGTGCATCTTTCTAGTCATATCAGTAATCCGGTGCTGTATCTCCTCTTGCGCGATTTTGTCCCATTCCTCTTGTAGAGCCTCTTTCATCTCTTCTTCGGAATCCAAGATTCTTCGGCGTAAGCGTTGCTTTGCAATCGCCCAAATACCTTCAACAGGATTAAGATCCGGACTCTGGGCAGGATGGTCCCATAGGTTTTAGATATTGTGGGCCTTCTTGTGCTCTTGTGTTAGTCCATATTTCCTTATCCCATGGGAAGGGTCCCCATCCTCTTATAAAAGCCATGATCTATCGTCAATAAGCCGTATAGATTTAACAGCTTCGACGTTTATAGGTAGAAGGTTATCTACGTAGTACTTCTGGGTCATTGAATTACCCCTGAACCTTGACCTCTACCTTATGAGGCTTCCCAGCTTCCCATTCCCTCACTCTTTCGGTGTATTCCTCCTTATCAATCTGGGTGGAGGCCATGCGTCGTCGGCCCAGGGTTCCCAAAAATAGTGCAATGGTGCATTAGCATCGGCGGATTTTCGACCAATAACAGTCTGTGCTTCTTTGTATTCCTCCTGCGCCCCTCTCGGCGATATTAACACTCAATTACCGATCGCCGCGACACGACGTGTCGTGCGGCAGGCATCAGCATTGTTTGATTTACTAAGACTACACTCGCACCCTCCTTTTGAACCATAGTCTGGTTTTTTATCTCAGCTCACAACACTCTGGCATCCACTCACTCTTCATTAATCTACTTTCTCTGGCCGAGTTTGCTCTACCACGAAATCAAGCCAGTTTGCCTGCCTCTCCGCCTTTCTTTCTAACCTCTGTCACTCCGACACTTCCTAACCCTAAGCCGAGTCTCGTCCATCCCGCCCTCGACTCAACGCATCTTCGGAACCCCCCCCCCCCCCCCCTCCCTTATTACCACAATGTCGTCCCCCGACGCAGCCGGCCAAGATGATTCCTCCCAGTACTTGGTCTCCTTCGGCCCCGACGCCAATTGCACCCTCGCCCTATGCCCCGTCGAAGCCTCCCTCCAGGGCTACCGGCCCAACCTAGGTGTGCAAATCGCTTTCATCGCCCTCTTCGGCGTCTCCATGCTCATCCACCTGGCCCAGGGCATCCGCTACCACACCTGGTTCTTCGCCAGCATGCTGCGCTCGGCTGCATCGGCGAGATGATCGGTTACGGCGGGCGCGTTTTGCTATACCAGAACCCCTTCTCCTTTAACGGCTTCATCATCGAGATCTGCTGCATTACAATCTCGCCCGTCTTCTTCGCCGCCGCCATCTACGTCTCGCTCGCCAAGGTCTCGAATTTTTTGGGCCCCGAAGCTTGCAGGTTTCCGGTCAAGGTATACGTGTGGGTGTTTGTGCCATGCGATATCGTTAGTTTGGTCTTGCAGGCCGTGGGCGGCGCGTTATCATCGAGTTCGGTGGGAAGTGACAAATCGGGCGAGTACATCACGATTGCAGGTCTAGTGTTCCAGGTCTTCACTCTTTCTGTCTTCACCGCTATGGCGTTAGACTACCTCTTCCGTTACATATCGTACCGTAAATCTCAGCAAGTGGATCAACGCCGGATCCTCTCGAAGCGCCTCGGGATCTTTGGCGTTTTCTTCTCGGCATCTATTCTCTTTATCCTTATCCGTTGCTGCTACCGTATTGCCGAGCTCAGTCAAGGATACAGTGGGTCAATCTTCCACGAGGAGGGTCTGTTTATTGGGCTAGAGTCGGTAATGGTGGTCCTGGCAGTGTTCGCCTTAAATATTGCTCAACCAGGTACGATTCTGTCCCATGTAGGGAAATTCTTGTCCGTAATAACAGTTGCAGGCTTCGCATTCCAGAACCGCACCCAGGAGGCCTATACAGCCTGTGGTCACAATATTGAACACGAACCCAGCTCCGAGCACAAGTAAAAAGTGTTATAAGGTGACCTCATGAAGGACGTTTGGGAGAAGCTCTCTGTTACGCACCCACTATGAAGAGTTGATAGAACAGAGAAAGGAGACCCAATCACCTTGGATAAGAAGTGATAGGGGTTTTACAAGGTCTAGGGTAACAGGATGAATTATGTGATAGGTTACAGCCTTAGGAGTTACAGGACAAGTATCTCTCCAAAGGAAAGGGAAATGCTTGTATAGAAAAGGGATACCTTTTGGATAGAAAGGAGATATCTTTTGGATAGAAAGGGAATCCTACTTGTAGAAAGAGAATACTTCTTTATATTATATATTAAAGTCCCTACTAATTAGTAAGTTATACTTTAGGATTAAGAGAATTAGATAATTAGTATACCCGGTAATGGTAATGTGGGAGAATCTTCATTCACGCCCGGCACGGTCGGAAATGGTACAGTTTATATATCCCCGGTATAAGGTAAAGCTTCCAAAATTAATGATGAATGCACATTCCCACAGTCGGTCTCTCCGAAGGTTTTCACATGTCTGAAACTTTAGCTCCTCAATACTCACTGCTAAATCTATCTTTTTTCACCGACACTCGAACGTTACAGACCAGCTGGCCTGGTCTCGAAAATGTGGAGAACCCAATGGTAGAATGGGTGCACCAGCTTGTCTATAATCAAGTAGAACCGGCAACTCCGCCATCTCTTCAACAGTTCCCCAGCGAAGAACTGAAGAATATCAGCACTATACAAATCACATGTCCAGATGCTGCTACTTTCCCAGCTCAGGAAGATGAGGCGGATCGCAGTAAGTCTCTGTCAACTATTCTTCTCGTTCATAGCAAGCTGGTTAATTTCCTGTAGCGATAAACCCAGCCTGTCTTCTGCTTTCCCCTGCGCATAGCCCCGGCATCGAGACCCCCAAGTGTCAGCCTCAACTCAAGGAGGAAACTCCACTTCCTATTTCACCGCCAGAGTCTGTATCAGAGGCCATTTCCAATACCAAGACACATACGGCCATCGGCACGCGGATATCAAATCCAGTGAACCAGCATGACCTGGTCACCCGTCACCCAGTTGGTATTAACGAAAGCGGACTACAAAATACCATTGCAGGAGGAATAGAGGTGAAAAATGGCTGCCTGCCTTCCGATGAGATGCAGTGCGAAAATACAGCATTCGAAAATAAAAATACAGAAGTGCCTCCTGTGCTGGATGCCATACCAGAGGTGGGCGCACCTCCTGAAATTTAGGGCCCGCCGCTGGGTGACGATGAGATGATCGAGTTGCTCCAGGTCACTTTGAAAGCAGCGACAGGGGAAACACTGACCACAGCACAAGCAAAGGAAGTTAACAAGGCTTGTAGTGGTCGGCCTATTCCCCCTGATATCTCACAATTTCTGTCTACTGACCTGCTATTGGGGACTGATAGTGGAGGGCAATTCTTCCAACACGTCATTCCACCGAACTTTCCATCATCGCGAGCAGCATGCGTTGCATACTTTAAAGCATTGGTACCGAAAAGAATACCCCTTTCTCACATTGAAGAGGTCTCTTGCCGTATAAATCAGATATGGTTGCATCTGTTTTTTAAAGATTATGTCAGAGAACTAGAGGAGAAGGACGACAAAGGCTTGCTAGCAAAACTTCGAGAAAATCAGTCAATGGCGTGTGATGCTGGAGACTTTGTTCTCAAGGATGTCTACGGAGATGAATTTGAACTGCAGAAGGATTACCGGAATCCCCCCCAGACCCAGTGTCGTTGGGGAAGTCGATGGTGAAGAGTTGCTAGTTGCGCTGGTCTAGGAGTAGTGCTGTTTGCCATTGGGGAGTTAACCAAGAAGATGTACATTTCCCTTCCCTTGCCACCCACCAGACAAAGAGTTCTGACTATCCAAGTGGGAAAAAAACATCATTTCAATTCGCTATGGTAAATGCGTTGGCCATCCATCTTCCGAACAATTACCCAGGCCTTGTGTTTTTCTTTCGATTCACTCAACCTATCTCTCACCTTGCAGATTATGCTTGGAAGAGACTTTCCTATTTTATCTGGTGCCGATACTCAGGCACTTCTTGACGAAGCGAGTAAGCTGGACTTGCGCACCCAACAGTTCCCAAGAACATGGCTAGAAATTAATCGGAACTTGCCTCATCGGCTATCGGGTCTAATGCAATTGTTTTTGCGAAGAAGTAATTTTCCGAATATAAGGCTGCTGGCAGCCCCGACACCATGCAGCTGGACTGATGGTCAAATATAGCTAGAGTGGTTTGGAGTTTCTGCGGTATGACTTTGATGATTTATGGGCTGACACTTGACCGCTAACCGCTATACCCCTTAATGGATCAGTTGATACCCTGCGTTGTTTACTTTGACAGATTTTGATCCTTCTTAGTTGTAATACTAGAATATCATCCGTGATCATATACTCCCAGCTATCACATATATTTGATATAAGCCAGACAGTAGATTCTTATATCGTACATTTTTACCCCGCTTGTTATAACATAGCAGACTCAGAATACAGGGGTCATCTCTCCACCACAATGCTCATAGGCGCTATACTATCTTTGTCTATGCCTCTTTCCGCTGTTCAGCCCTCTTTCGCCTTCGCTTTCAGTATTCTATCTGAAATTCTACAATCTTTATCGCAAATCTAGTCCCATCGTGTGACCAATTTGTTTCCGGAAGCTCCTGTCTTTTCCATCTTTTCGTGCCCCTATTTCGTTTTGGTAAGTATAGATAACAACAAACCAGAAAATAGGCACCAGTGGGGATTTACACCTACAACCGATTCCTCATTTACCTCACCCCGGTTTGAACCCGGTTTCAGAGATCCTCTGGCTTCTAGTAGCAGCGACTTTGGCACGGAGCTAAAGAAAGATAATAGGGGATCTTTCTGGACATAACATATACTAGCCGTGGCAGAACAGGAGCCCGTACAGGACCAAGAACCTGACCCTCAACCAGAACTGGAGCCTGTATTCGAACATGGACTGCCTAATGATCCACCCTATAATAACTGGAACAATCTAAGTCCTAAATACAGAAAGAAACGAGAGAAATCGCTGGTAAAAAAGGGTTACCTATTCCTGGGAAGGATTTGACATAGCCTTCTCCAGCACCAGAGCCTATAATAGAGGAGCCGGAGCCGGAGCCAGAACCTGTTGTGGAAACCGTACCAGAACCGGAATCTGTCCCTGAGCCTGCCGCTGAAGAGCTCAAGCCTCAATCTGAAAATTCCGCCCAACCAGAGCTTGAGCCAAAACCAGAAAGTCCGAGGCCAGCCCTGTTCCCTTCTCAATCGGAGAGAAACTTCTATATCCAAAATATAGCCACGGGTTCTACCTTTCTCCTTTTGTTGCTATCAAAGTAAGCCTAGTCTAATCTTTAATCACAGAATTATATCTAACATAATAAAGTATCCGAGATAATGGCGCATTTTCCGACCTTAAAACTAAATGTGAATCGTCAACGTTTAATATACATTGTTGTATTGTCTGTCCACAGTCTGACTTCTTCGAAAATGCTACGAAGAATAGATCAAAAAGGTCACGATTATCGATCATCCGTAGTCATCAAAAGGATACTTGACTATCTCTATCAGGAGAACTACGACGACTACGAGCTCGCCATTGAACTACAAGCCCAAAGATACCTGGCGCACGTGGATACAGCCAGCCAGGAATGTAAAGCGCTACAAATGATGGCGTGCGCTGACGGATATAATGGCCCCACAGTCCCTGTCTGGAACAATAAACAAACCAAGGTATATATCAATGCGATGATATGTTACTGCCGTCAAATATGCTATCAAAGTGCTTAAGGACCTTGCCAAGAGAAGGCTAGTATCAAATCTCTATATAATATATAAAAATATATATAGTATAGATATTATATTATAGTAGAAATATACCATAGATTCTCTCTATATAATTAGCGAGCTATAACCTGCCTGAATTGGTTCTTGACCGAGTCATAACATCCCTCGAAGTCCACGCCGGAATCAATCTACACATGTCAATTAAAGCAATCACTCAGATATTCCACATACCTCTATTATGCTGCCTTTATATCTCAGTTCATTGATGATCGGCATCGTCTCCTCATAGAAAGTCTGTAATCTCTTCCGAAACGTGACCTCGTTATCATCAACTCTCCCAGATGTTTTCTGTCGATTGAGAACCCGCCGTAGCATCGTCTCATCTGGGCATTGAAAGTAGAACGCTGCATGAGGAGTACCAATCTATCTCGTCAGATTCTTCTCTCTATTGGGTGGATGGTGTGTTTATCTACCTGCTCCTCAAACGCGGCTACTTGCTCGTTGTTCCGCGGAAAATTGTCAATTATAAATACAGTTCGCCCGTTGTGTATCTGCCGGTTGATTTCGGGGATCATAATATCCATAATAATCTCAATGGGTACACATGTGCCACCCTCAACCATGCTCTGGATCAACGACCACCGTGCAGGGTTGGCCTTTTGATCGCGGAGAAGATCTCCGATGGAGAGATGGGCTACGTTAAATTCCGTCGCGAGTCTGGTGCATATTGTTCCTTTGCCTGCGCCAGAGCCCCCTGGATGATTTTGTTAGTGGTGGTCATTCATAATGATGGTTTGTGCAGACCGAAAATGCAAATAAACTTTGCGTTCTTGAACAGTGACGCTGTTTGTTCCATGTTATATAGATGATTATAATGATCAATGGATATGCCGGATGTTTCGATATGACAAAATCTCCTTGATTCTATGTATTTTTTTAAACAGAATTTTCCGACAGCTGCCTTCAGCTGTAACAGAGTTTGACTCGGAATTGGCAATGGCTGTACGAGGCTAGTTGAGAAAGACCCACTACGAAGGCGTGCGTGACTACAGGTCAGCTCACTGCCGCCCCCCTCCCCGACCTTGGACCACCGGCGCCGATTTTCCGAAATATAAAAGCAAAAGAGCAAAACGCAGATCCGCGTGACCGGTATTTCCATAATATCTCGGAATTTCGATTATACCAGCTCATACTTGTTGATGAATCTAGATGTGATAAACAGGTAGGCTTTCGAAGAACAGGCTTGCCGCCAGTCTCTATTTACGAAGTCTAAATTTTCAGGGTCCAATACCTGATGAAGGAGATCTTGCTTATTGCGCAAGGCATCATCCAGATCCAGATATTTATCAGTGTCATGCTACGTACCACGATGCTTGAAACTCAACTCATAGGTATAATATGAGATCATTTGCGAAGGCTCAATTTTTGTAGTGGAAAATATGTCTGAAATCTAGGTTATGACCACAGCAAACAAGCTAATGCACCTTACACATAGCTTCAGCAAATGGACAAATATCTCAGGTCCATTGGAACAAAAACATCACTAAATCTGCCGACGGATTGTATGGTCAAACTATACTATTGATTTTGGCAGTAGCAGACAAAGCTTGTCTTCCGGTTGACCAGTTAGCATTCGACCTGAAAAATCCGACGTTCAACTGTATCTCTGCTTGCACAGCACCTAGTTACTTCCCATCAAGGACCTCTTCAACCCAGTTTCGTCGACGGCCTTCCCAATACCAGGCTAGTAGTCTAAACTAACTAGACGCCTAAAACGCTCGTAGTGCCTGACCTGGCCTTCTTCAGACTCTGATTTTGAGTTGCGTGGTATTGTCACCAAAAACCATCCATCGATTATGACAACCGAACTTTTCCCACGGGTCCTTCCCATTAACGAATGAGATCCAGCAGTCCGCCATTTCTCTAGCTATTCCACCCTCCCCATAATATTTAATAAGATTATTAAATATTAAATAAAATATATTTAAAAAGATAGTCTATTACTTATCTAAATAGATTTAATTATCTTGAACAGAACTAGAGTAACTACTGATTAACTATAGATAGTATACTATATATATATAATCTAGCTATAATCTAGCAGTTAGATATAACTGATTCTATTAATCTAATCTAATCTGGCCAAACACCAGTCTAATCTATATATATATTATTTTTATTTCTCTATTTTATACTATTACTTAATTTGATTAATATTTTCATTTATGAAAAATTCTATTACAATAGTTTCTTTATATTTTATTATATAATATAGATATCTTTAGCTATTTGTAACGGCGGTATACTATATAGATGCCCCCAGAGCATTCGGGATTATTGATCCCGAATTATATAACCTTTTGGCCGTGTGGAATAGGGTATCCTGGCTCTATATCTTACAGACATAGAACCAAAAAAATTAATAAATCAGTGGATACGGGGGTGTAACAAGGGCTCGATATAGCGCGCACTAGGGTGTTCTATTATCACTTTGAGTCGACAGCAGTACTGAGCGCAATCTCTCTCATTTCATCCAGGTTCTGCTTCACCCAATCGAGCTTCTCTAACATGCGCGGGAAGCAGTCAGTGCCCAGTGGCAGGCGAAGAAGGTGGCTCTTTTCTTTTCCCATCCCCTGCAACTGTACCACATCAAGAATTTGCTGGACTGCCTTCATAGGATCCCCAGGTTGCTTTCCTCGAAGGGTATCCCACATTCCCATCGCCGCTGCCAACGGCGTGCCCCCATAGTCCCTGTTCATCCCGGCCGCGGGTATCTGATGCCCGCCAATGAAGTTAGTCCGGAAGGCTCCTGGCTCAACTAACAAAACACGAATGTTGAATGCACCAAGCTCAACGAAGAGAGATTCTGAAAGCGCTAGATGCCATGGTTAGCACGGTAACTTGCAAGGAGAAGGATGCCCCACATACCCTCAACAGCAAACTTGGACATGGAATATGCCGCAGAAGACGGGCCTGCTCTGAACCCGGCAATGCTACTGATATTGACGATGGTACCACTGCGTCTGGCTCGCATAAACGGGAGCACAGCCTTGATCACTCTCACCGGACCGTAGACGTTGGTTTGAAACTGGGTATCGAGTTCGTCCTCGCTATTTCACGTACTTAGTATCTCGGCTGTCTTTCTCGAGCACACGCGGAGTTCATGGCCACACACACCTAATATCTTCAATGCCACCAAGGAGACCGTACCCCGCATTGTTGATAACGACATCAACCCGACCTCCGTGGGCTTGGATCACTTCTTCGACTTTTTCCTTTGTCTGCTTGCTCGTCACGTCCAACTGGAGCCATGTTCCCCCCAACGAGGCGATTTGTGGGTGATCACTAGCAGCTTTGGTCGGGTTGCGTGCTGTAGCAATGACAGAATGGCCGGCTTCGAGGGCGCTTTCCGCCAAAAGTGCCCCAAACCCAGAGGATGCCCCGGTGATGAGCCAAGTTTGACGTGCCATGGTATTCTGAAGAATATGAATCGAGCAAACAGACGACCACTCGCGAACTCGCTACTTTATATAGTGCCACATCGGAAAGATGGAAGTAGCTTTACCAGAACTATCGGCGTCATCGACGGAGATATAAGGGAGTAAACCCCGTCTATCCACAACCAAGTACATTCTGCTGACTTCCGGTGGATCCGTATTTATATTGTTAGCAGGCCAAACTGGAATACTCCTAGGGTGGCGTCTCTGAGTTCGCGCTCTCCTGCGCTCTCCTGCGCTTACCTTGCAATAAGTGGCAGTTCAATGGACCCACCCTCGAACCGTCATCCGACTTGGAGCCATGGTTAAAAGTTAAAAAGGCGGGATTTTCCTCTTGGCCGTCTTCTAAAAGCGGGTAGGGGTGCTTACTGAGGAGATAACTGGAGACGGATCGGGTAAACATGGATATCAAACACTAGCGGTATATTATGTTGCTAGACCCGCAGTTGATGACGCTCGCTCACGTAGATAACCGGCAGGGAGCTGTCTTTCCGCCAAGGACCAACCAGTTCTAGGCTTCAAGGCTCGTTCTGTGGAAAATCGCACCCCTGCCTGCTGCGTGAATAGATATGGAGAGAATGCTGAAGCCTGGCGACCAACCCAGCCCCTTTATGTCAGCGTCCTGCTGGGGATGAGCTATAAAGCAGCTTGTCGTCCAGAACTAGTAGCGTCCACGATCGTCCTGGGTCACTTGTCCCCGTATCACCACAATCTATTATAGCCCAAGAAGCCATGTACACCTTCCGATATCTCCCCTTGCTCTGCTCGCTGGTCACTGCGCAACTGCGCCCTCAATGGGTCCATTTTGACAGTGATGGCATTTCGATTGCAGCTCACCTCTACATTCCGCCGAGCAACTCTACCTGGAACACCTCGCGACCAGCAATTGTGGTCGGCCATCCCCACGGCAGTGTGAAAGAGCAGAGCTCTGGCCTCTATGCTCGTCAGATCGCCGAACGCACCGGGTTCGTGACTCTTGCGTTCGACGCCGCCTATCAAGGCGAGAGTGGCGGCCTGCCACGATACCTCGAAGACCCGTATCAACGTGCCAACGATGTTCGGAACGCGGTCACCTACTTGGCTACCCTAGACGTGGTCAACGCGACCCGCATCGGCGCACTGGGTGTGTGTGCCTCGGGCGGATATGTGCCCTTCGCCGCGCAGACAGACGAGCGCATCCGCGCGGTCGCCACCGTCAGCGGCATCGACCTGGGCACCCTCTACTCCGAAGGATTCGGCAACTACGGCGGATCGGTGCAACCCGGACTCCGCGACGAGCTCCTTGAAGCCGGACGACAGCGGATCCGCGAAGCCGAAGGCGCGCCGCCCAACCTCACGCGTATCTTCCCACAAACTGCCGCCGATGTGACCTCCGATCTGCCGGTGTTCTACCAGCAGTCGTACGACTACTACCAGACCCCGCGGGGCCATGTGGAAACAGCGCCGAACTGGCATCTCTGGCGCAGCATTGATTTGATTGCGACGTATCGGTCCTACGCCTTCATGGACTTGATCTCGCCGCGGCCGCTATTGATGATTGCCGGGTCCGAGGCTGACACGCTGTATTTTACCCAGGCTGCCATAGATCGAGCACAAGAACCGAAGGAGATGTATGTTATCCCGGGGATGACGCACATCGACCTGTATGACCATACCAGTGAGAGTACCCCCAAGCTGGTGGAGTTTTTCACGGCGAATTTGTAATGGATTCTTGTGGACACTGCACAGGCATGCTCCGGCGATCGATGTTATAGAGGGGTGGGATTGCTGCCTGGAGCCCAAATTCGAGATGGAATCATAAAGCAGGTAGTCCTTTTGTACTTCGCTTAGGTAGACATGGGATCTTGGATATTGTGGATTGGAAATACAAATGGTTATTTCGAACGGGACATGTTATAGCTACACCCACTCTTCCTCATTAGGTATATTTACCTATGAAACCGCCTATGGAACTAATGGTTATATCATTATGATACTGTATAAGCGGCCTTTGATTCACCGAATGGGTGTGGTAGGAGCAAGTCGGCTGTGAAGCCTGTTAATCGACCGTGTAGGCAACTTGTTGGACCATTTACCGTGGAAAGTATCACTCGACGCACTGTCTACAGCAGGATGGGGATGGAGATAAAGCATGCCTTGTCACCACGTAATTGAGTCACCCGGAAGAAGATCCGGTCTTCTTGCCCGCTGATAGTAGTTCTAGCGGCAGAAAGCTTTCTGTGGATGGGGATGTGCAGCTTACGCGCTAGAGGTGGGTCTGATATCGACCCACCTATCTACTTACTTACTGGTGTGAGACGATCTTGGCCTTTTCGACGACAGGAAAGGTCGGTAGACTTGATGAGGGATATCTGTTTCTTTTTGGTACCAATGCTCAGAAAGACAAATAGCCGGATCCTGCCTCCTCCTCCCTCTCACCTTGCCGCTCGCAGCAGCCACACAAGATTCATACCAACCATCCGAAGTCTCACACCCAGACGACACACCACATATGTCCCCATCTTCCCCCGTTCCAAAAGTCGTCAAGATAATCAAGACCCTCCCATTTGGCGAGCAGCAGGCCCCAGCCACCGGCTTCGGCACCACGGGGCTCAACTATGGCATGGGAACTACCTTCGACTTCGAACGATCTGAGCCCGTTCTACTGAAAGCGGCTATCCTCGGCTGCACGTTCTGGGACACTGCTGTACCTTCTTCTTCGCCCCCAAGTAGCTATGTACACGCCCGCAGCGCTCCATATATACAGAATTACCATTTGTGACACACACAGGTTACCTATGCGCAGGGCGAAAACGAGAAGCTGCTGTGAGAGTTTATCCAAAAGGATAACATCCGCGACAGACTTTCGGTGAGCTTACCTGCCCCGTTTCACTCATTGACTTCTCTGGCTTACCTGGACTCGTACCATGTAGTGGCCTCCAAGTGTGGGTTTGATGTCTTTGGCGCATAGCGCAAAGCCACGAACTCACCTGCACATATCAAACAATACATCGAGGGAGCGATTGCCTGGCTGGGCTTCACGCCTGATCTCTATTATGTTCACCGAATAGATGCCAGTACTTTTCAAGCCCCGGCCGTTTAGCCAAGGGGTTCACATCGAAATCCTCACTTAATATCTACAGAGACTCCTCTTGAGGAATCCATCGGCGCTCTGGATGAGCTTCGCCGCACCGGCAAGACAGAGTACATTGGCTTATCCGAATGCCCTACTGCAACCTCGCGCAGGGCACATGCAAGTGCGTCTTTCCGTGTAGTGCAATGGGCCCAGCAACACGCTAACCCATCACAGTTGCCAAGATTGATGCCAGTCAAGCCGAATGCACTGCATTTGAGACCGTGCGCGAGACCAGTGGTCTGATCGAGACGGCAACAGAGTTGAGGAGTGGCCTTTGTGGCATTCAGTCGGCTGGGACATGGTTGGCTGGTGCATGATTTCCCGTTCAACTCGCCAGATGCATTCGCCCCGGATAACTGTCGACGCACGGGTAGGTTTCTCATCTATCTTGACTATAAAAAAGCTACTTGATGTGGGACTGTGGCTGACTGGCTGGTGCACGCCCAACCGCAGTCCCTAAATCCCAGGGCGACCACTTCTACAAAAACAAGGCCATTGTGGATGAGATAAAAAAGCTGGCCATCCGCAAAGGGTGTTCCTTCTCGCAGATCGCTCTCTCCTGGGTAGCGGTGCAAGGTCGGATTCCGATTCCTGGGACGACGAAACCTTCACGTGTGGAGAACAACTAGACATCTCGGGACGTCTAATCGACGGACGAGGAGCTGCAGAACATCCGAATAATCGTGGAAATTGCGAAGCCGGCGGGGCAAGAGATACTTTGCCGTCTTGCAGTCGATGGTTGGTCATTGAGTAGACCGTTCCCTGTTCCCCAAGGAGTCGGCCTGGCTACTCCATATAGCATGGCGTTTCGCGTGATTCTGGCATCAAAGGCCCTATGAGTGGGAGCCTTCCGCTCGCCTGACTCTGTCGCATATACATAGAGCTCTGTCATGTCCGCCTATTTCCCACAAAACTTGGTATCTGTCCACACGATACAAACCTACATACACATGGTGGCCAGTCTATCCCACGGAACCGGAACTTCAGGATCCAAAGGAAACCTTCCATTTTAACCGCCGCTCCCCCCTCTCCTGGCGCCAATGATTCGACGACCAGATAATCTCCGGACAGCTCCTGACCAGAAACCCCCATTTCCCCAGAAAAGCCTCCGTTACTTCCCAGTTCATCGGCTCCCACGGATCGCCCCAGACCAGCATACAGTTGTCACTCACCGTCGGCATGGTCCAGAAGCCCATCAGATCCCGACACAACTGGGAGTCATCCAGAGTATCCTCGTGACGAATGAGCGCATCGCGCAAATGAGCGAACGGGAAGAAGTCCAGCCACGGATGATGGGGCTGACGCTTCTGCAGCGTGGTGGGCTGCAGCCCCGCCGGCAGGAGGGACTCAGATAGATCGTCCGCCTTCCGCGGCCCATCCACACTGAATCGCGAGATCGCGTCATCTGTCAGCTTCGACCGAGTGTATCCCAGAGCTGTGATGTTGCGCTCGAACGCGCGAAAGACATTGAGCTTGACGAGAGTTAACCGGTGATCGCTGCTGGGGTTTCGGAGGTAACTCTGATACGCCGCTGATTCGAGCAAGGACAGAAGCTCGTATACCTCCGGGTCCGAGATTCGGCACGGGGAGCCCGCCTTGATGAGCGGATTATGTTCCTGGATCCATACAATCATGGAACTCAGGTCGAGTCCGGATACCGGGAGCCAGGGCGAGGGCAGGCTGTCCTGGGCTTCGCGCAGCTGGAGGTACGATTCCGCCAGCAGGTTTGCTGCTTTTTTCAACCGCTGTCGTTGCCCTGCGCTAATGGGTTAGCAGGGTCCCCACTGCCACTCTGGGATGGTTGAATATGGATTCACGGAAGGCCTGTTGGTTGACTCGATTTTGCCGGCGGCGCTTCTCCCCCTTGTCCAGTTCATCAGCATTCTGGGCATGTCTCGCCATGGGCTCGAGAGAGCTCTCATCAGAGGCTCCTGTGGTGTGGCGTCGCATGGTCAGGGTTAGGGAGGATTTGGAAACATCTTGCCGGGGTTTCGCAAAATGACACGGTTTTGTCGCCATGATTGCCTAGGCTTGGCGGGCTCCACCGGAGAACCGTTAAGGTTCCAGCTCCCAGGTTGGTCGTCATAGAAGAATCAGGTAGAGATCATACGTGCTAGTGACAGCCGTCCGTCGATCGCGCCGGGATATGACCATCAGTGTCGTGCGCTTCTTGGTTGGATGGTACCTGCACCCCAACTATGTAGAACCTCCTCGTTCAGGATCGAATGGCGATCTCAATATAGTTTCCAACCACAGGAGTTGGTCTATCAGTACTACTAGTAACTGGCCAGAGATACAAGGACCCGCAGTTGATGACGCGCTAAGGGTGGGCCTGCAGTCACAGCGTCCAATCACTAACTAGTTAACTAGCTCACTAACTCGCTCCGCATTATTAATAACTTCCGATACGTTTTCAGGAATGGCTCCAGCGGTGGTGACTTGAGCTTCGATCATTTGATTGACCGATCCATTAATCTCTGAGGATCATACGGCAGTTTCAAAAGCTCAGTCTGCCGTCTACCGGGGTATATTCGGACAAATGTTCTAAACTAACAGGATAGATAGCGATACCGCAAGCAGTCCGTGAATGATGCCCCTAATCGTCGCCGGTAACAGTCGCGCTCCGGCAGACGCTGATGTTGACGTTGGAGATGGCGCTGCAAACGCAGTCACTGCATCTGGCAGAACATGACTGCAATCGGTGAGCTGGTTGATGTTGTCGACTCCAAGGAGACTGAGGCGCACATAGGCGGAGGCATACTGCGCATTCCAGACGGTTTGACCGAAGGTCACATCCTGATGCCGTATGCTTCTGAATCAGTGCTCGCCTGCCAAGCATGGGGCATGACGGAATACGTACCGTGAATGCTTCGAACCGTCGCGCAGTACCGTCCGCTACGGACAGGGCTGCATCACTGGGTAGTCGAAATACGCCCCTAATTATCCATGTTCCCGGTCAGCTTTTGTGTACTATCATAAGTTGGAGTCAAACCCGAGGCGCGAGTCTTACGGAGGTGGGCTCGGAAGCGCCATCTCCCGATAGAAGTTCATATCCCACACCCCTGGCGTGGAATCGAGTCCCTGGCCGGCCATTGTGGAATCCACGTAAAATTGCCGGGCAACGGTATGCGCCCCCAAGAGTGCCGCCAAATCTCGCGGCGAGATTGTCTTGTTCTGAAATAGTTCAATCAGATAGCGGGCATCCGTCGCATTGTTCGACGGAATGAGATCCCCGGGGTTTGATTCCTGGCTATCCTTCCGTCCCACTAAGGTCAGCATCCGGGGACCCAACGGGCAGGTCACCGTGGCGACATTGTGCATGAATTGTACCAAGTCTGCCGCGGAGATACCGCTTCCGGAATAACGGTGGAGGATTGTTAGCGCTTTCGATCGGATTTCCTGAAGGCCGTTATTCTCGGGGCGTTCGATCTCCTCCGAGCTGAGCAATAAGCTGCCATCGGCGCCACCTGTGCCGCTTGTGGTTGACCAGGATCCTGCATCGTGGAAGCCCAATCGTACCGCCGCTCGAGCCAGGCTGGTACACGTTCCATTGCCGTGGCGAAATTGGCTTGTCAGCTCTTCTTGAACAAAGTCCCATACGCAGCATGTATCTTCTCGACACATGGCACTGTCTAGGCTGCCAGGACGTTTGTAATCCTATTTCATATCAGTCATTGTGGGAATCACCTTCCCAGCGGACTAACCTTCCTGGCCTGAAGTTCACACGATGCCTCTCCTGTGATACAATCACGTACCCGTCTGCCAACGGAGCTGGTGGCCCCGTCGATGAGGTCTCCAATCAATTGACCTGTCTCCGAGGTCGATTGGCGGGTTTGGATCTCATGGATGAGATGGTGTATGCCGGAGAACGCGAAGGCAGCGGCGTGAAACCATATAGAAAAAGTCAGGAATCTCATGGTATCTGTCTTGCCCCACAACGCAGTCCACGCTCGAACGTTGGCCCTACATCCATATAAATACTGATACATTTCACCAGGCTCTTGCGGTATTATCGGGGTTATTGGTCATCAGGGGTATGTGGCTGGGGCTGAGCATCGTGCTATTTGTGGATCACAGTTGCCTGCTACTGGACATGGCGTATTGGTTGGTGGTGGGCTGGGTGATCATGCATACTCTCGGTTGGAAACAATTTTGCAACTTTTCATATCGATATCTTCCGCAGAAGAATCAAAAGAGCAGGGTTCTGTTCCCTTGTTCTTCTCAGTAGTTCTATGAGCCTTTATGGGGACATCTTGGGCTGTCAGATAGTCCCCACGGAATAGCATAGACATGGTCTTTTCAGCGCATTTTTCAATTCTTGCGCGCGATCGTCAAAAACTAGCTATTTTGAAATGCGCATAACCCAACTAACCTTTTTCGTATCGTCTTTATATTAAAGTCTATATTATAACGGAAAGTCAATACCTTAGGTATATAAACCATATATTAAAAATACTGTATATATATCTATTTAATCAATCTTTTAAACTATGTGTAATCTATTTAAAATGGAATTCTTCCTTTACTTTGAAACATTGCTGATTATAGAACTTCAATCAGAAGCGAATTACATAATGAACTGGCAGAGAGCTATAGGCATTTGGAAATAGCTAGTTTTGGAAGATGGCGCGCAGGAATTGAAAACATACACCGAGAGTATTCAATCTTGGCCGTAATCCGAACCCCGCCATGATGACACTCTAAAGGTGGGTCTGCACGGAGTGGGGAATAAGGATCATCCACTATCTACTATACTGGGCACCAGTATCACCGTAGATGATCTTCCACTCTAGACCATGTAGTCACAGCACCATCTAGGCAACTCACCAAGTAGTATCCAGTAATACGCGTCACCCCTACCATTTGAAAGCTGAAGCTGCTACTCATGGGGATGGCACTTGATCTACATAAAGCCTACACTTCTCGTCCACATGCTCTTGACGTCCTTCCCCCATTCCACATAGTCTCGATCCACCACCATGAAAATTGTTCTCTCTTTCTTCGCGACTGCCTGGTGGCTACTCGGTACTTCCAATGCTGGATGGATTGTCGGTCAGCCCGTGCCAACGACCAGTGGCCTTGTCATAGGCCACGCAGCGGCCGACGCATCTGAGGTCTCCGAGTATGTCGGGATTCCATATGCCCAACCACCACTAGGAAACCTCCGTTTTCAACCTCCCGTGGCATATCACGGGGACGGGAATATCAACGCAACCACCTTTGTCAGTTCAACCCCTGCGTGTAATAGTACTATACCCTGACATGGTTCCCGCTGTTAACGCCCATAATGTCACAGGGCCCGAGCTGTATCCAGCCTCCATCCGCACCAAGCAACAACTCCACCAGTGCGCCACCTCGGGATCTTGGTATTCCGCCTACATCTCCTGCAGCTTTCACGAGTGACGAACACGCGGAGAGCGAGGATTGTTTGACATTGAACGTCTGGACGAAGCCGCAGGCCGGAGAGAAGAAGAAAGCTGTGTTGGTCTGGATCTATGGAGGGGCATATGTGTCTGGTAGGTATTGTTGGGCAGCCAAAGAGGCAAAATCTATGCTATTCTGCTAATGTGTACTGTCATCAGGCAGCTCTAGCCAACCCGGCTACCGAGGGCAATTCATCGCGGATCAGACCGACGTTATCGTGGTCTCGATGAAGTAAGATTCCACCCAGAGTTGACACCGAAACACCGGCCCACATTGTACTGACTGTGGAGCAGCTACCGGGTGAACATTTTCGGCTTCCCGGGTGACCCAGCCAGCCCCGCCAATCTCGGGCTCAGGGACGTTCGCCTGGCCTTGGAATGGATCCGGGACAATATTGCACAGTTCGGCGGTGATCCCGCGCGCATCACCATATTCGGACAATCTGCTGGCGCGGGCATGGTGGATTTCTACTCCTTCGCGTACGCCGACGATCCCATCGCGTCCGGCTTTTGTCGAGATGAGTGCGACTCTATATGGATTCCCGGCGCTGACAGCGAAGGAATCCAACGACCGGTGGTTCCATGTCACCCGCTTAGTCGGTTGCGGAGACACGACCTCCGACCCAGAAGCTGTCAGCACCTGTATGCTCAACCGGACCGTGGACGAAATCCTGGCAGGATACGACCCGGCTACGGTTCCCCTCAACCCGTCTCCGTATGGACCCGTCGTCGACCACGATGTGGTCTTCTCAAGCTACCTCGACCGTCGCGCGGCCAACGGGGGGTATCTGATCGGTAACACGCATAACGAGGCCGGTCTATTCAAGCTCTTGCAGCCTCCCCAAACGGAGGCGTACTGGAACGACTTCAACGATCGCCTATATACCTGTGCTGACAGGGTCCGAATTGAGCAGTCCGTCGCGGACGGCAATCCAACCTGGAGGTACCGATATTTTGGCGATTTCCCTAACTTGGTTCTTACAACGACCCCGCCGAGCGGTGCCTACCATGGCGTTGAGCTCGGCCCACTGTTTGACACAGTGAACCAGACGTTGCTGGAGAGCACCGCGGCAGAGGTCGCTGTCGGTGATTACCTGCGTGAAGTTTGGTCGAGTTTTGCGAAAGACCCACGGCGGGGGCTGGCGGCATTTTGGCCGCAGTATACCGAGATGAGGAGGACTTTGGCTCGGATTGGGTTTAATAATATGACGATGAGCTTGGGGCCTGGTGGAATGTATGATCATGTTTGTCGCTGGGGTTACGACGGAGTCAGTGCCCCGGCTGTTCTGGAATCGGTCCATTAGAATTATTACTAGAGAACGGCAACTTTGCCCGGCGAGAGGCAGACATAAGTCATGACTCCCATACATACTGCAGCTGCATACAATGGATAGAACACAGAAGACGAGTCCATACGCGGAGGACTTTTAGTTTACAGCGTAGTTAACCAAACAACATAGCCGGTAAGCCAGCCGCCCATCTGTGTATTCCATACAAAATAGCATATTTTTAAATCGTGATATCTAGACGGCTCTGTGGCAAATCTGTTTATAATCTAACCGAGGCCCGGTGAGGCCAGGTTGTGGCTAGTTAGATTAACTATGCCACTCTACAAAGCTGTTACCTCATCCCGAGATTATAATGAAGAGAATTAAATCTGGATGTGATATTCTCTGTACTATGAGCGCCGAATAGGGTAAATATATCGACTAGAGTAAACGGTTTCTCCTATCTATATTTAAATATCCCCTACACCAACAGATACTGGACAAGGATTAGAGTTTATACTGAAGTTTTGATGCTAAGAGCAGGGAAGAGAAAGTTATAATTTCTGAATCACAACCAAATATATTTACATCCAATGCAGCTGTTCTGAATAAAACTGTCCCTATCAACTTTACTACTTGGGGGGATTCTTTTTAGCTAGATATATTTCAGTACGCGGAAGACTGAGCGAAATACAGAAATTACTACTATAATAGACAATTTCGATATAAATCGACTATCAAGTACCGTTCTAGCATTATCTAGTAAACTGAGTCATAACTTCGGTCAAAATATCTCTCTCTCTTTTTTTGTTGTTCTTTTTTGAATATTTTCTATGAAGCACGTACTGGACAATATATGGATACTGGACATTTGGACTCATTAACTTCAATAGAGGATACTACTTACCAGCCATATCCGCTGATCTAACGAGTTTCTAGTAGAGTGGCATAACTTAAGCAAAAAGCAATAAGGTTCGAGCCGGAGGGGCTTTATGAACACTGTATGTATAAATCATAACCAACCACGTTCCAACTTGGTAAATTGTGTCTCAAATGGAATCGCGCTTTGGTTGTTCGCTAATTTGGCCGTCTAGACTCTCACTTGTGACACCGAACACAGTCCTGCACTGGATATCCAGCTTTTGGTGGCGACATGCCCTAGAGGAGCTGCGGGAACACAATACTAGTCTGTCCCAAGGGATCACAGGGAGACGATTAAAGACCGGTCGCATACTTGGGAGACATGCTGCAGTGATGCCCACTGCCGGCTCGATGCAGGTCCAGACACTGGAGGGTACTTGATTGTCTAGATCGAATTTTACATTAGCGAGTGCAGGTGTTGATGAGAAGGAGAGCCGCACATGTTATATCATTGCCTGATTCCGAAAGTGCAACAAGCGCCACCAAGCGGACGATGTCAAAGATTAGGGTTCTGGCAACAGCCGATTCGTCAATAGACCAAGTGGATGTACTCAGATCAGAAGGCTAGCTCACAAGAACCCGAGGAGGAAAATTCCGGACAAAAGGATCTTCTGCGTCTTTGGAATCTGTAGGTTCCATACCAATCTTATGGGCATCACGAGGATAATGGCGTCGGTGAGAATATTGGGAATTTGGAGTCCGTAATAGAATTGAGGAAGATTAATGCATCGGCCCGGGACCGTTGGATCCCAGAGCTTGCGGAAGGGGATACAGGTCATGGCACCAACAATGTACACTGCCACACACCATACGATCACCAGGGATGCTACAGCATTCACTGAGATCACCATAGGCTTCACAGGGAATAGTCGCTTGTAGAAGTTGAGGATAGACAGTTTGACGAAAGTGATGCATCCAGTGTACAGGAAAGTGCCACTGGACAACATCTAGTCTTCGTTAGCTCTGGACAGCTCTACCAGGGAAGATGGAGGAAGATATCGCGTACTTTCATGTAGACAGTCAAATTGTCGGATGGGACGAGGGGTATATGAGTTCCGAGGCCATTGTAAAGGACTACGCAGTCCGACGTACGTGAGAAGGAGTCATTGACGGCAGCCTGGGTTTCTAAACCTACGAACGACGCCGGCCATAGTGATCCCGTACTCAAATATCTGTCGTCAATGTAATTATTATGCATATCCTCGGCCAAGATTCCATGATAGATAGTACTCACCAGCGCCACAATCATGAAATAGTCATCTAGGAAGAATTTAGTCTTCATCATTCGGCGACAGACAAGTCGTAGTACCACTGATGTAGTCGACAAGATGAGGGCAAAGCATGTTGCTGTAATAACCACATGGCGAAGGTTGTCATGGGCGTGTCGCACATTTGATTTCTGACCTTCCATATTACCGTCATTCAATAATACGGGGATTCGGTGTGGATTTTCAATCAAACGATGGGTGTGGATCGCCACTAACTTTGAACAGAGCTATGCTACATTTCCATGGTATCTTCACTCTTAAGTAGATTGGTGCTTCGCGTGTAAGCAAATCATTACTTTGTATGCCATTATGCTCACATAAGACCCATCATTGGCTGATGGCCAAAGAAATGTCGGGCCTGCTCATTTCGGCCCCCTGAATGAATGCATAATCCGAAAGAAGGTTGCCGATCTCCTATGTTTCCGATGACGGTAGACGTGGATGATAACCTTTTGAGACAACCGGGTCCAGTTGGTCGCAGGATGAGGAGCTGTCATATTGTCAATGTTGCAGACTGGCCCCTTGCAGCTCGATCGATGCCGAGACCCTCCCCCGATCCGAGTAGGGATCAACGATCGAACAAACCGTCGCTGATGCTATGTCACTGATTCCTATTTTGGCTAGTCGCATCGTGTTTAATGGCGTGTGGCTTGAACTTTGAGCAAATAGTGCCCCTGGAGACCCGGTGAATGCCTTCTGGCAGGCTTGGCCCTGATAGGATCCATATCTACTGGTGTGTACCGATAATTCCAATATTGGGCCTGGGGATACAGGTATTAAACACATGGCTTCATGTGGAAGTGATGGTCTTGCAGAGCTTGGGACTGTTTATATAGCAGACATCCGCGTGGAAAGGATTTTCATGCAGAACAGACTTTTACTGGTTGGGTTCGTTTTTGTGCTCAATTATTGCCATCAGCCCGACCACAAGTGCTCCACGGTCCAGATAGCAGTTCCAAATAGCTCGCAACGCAGTGCGGCCGCGGAGGGGGTTGCAACCTCCCGACGTCGTCCAGTTCATCGACGCTAATGGGAGGCGTCACGCAGTTGGGAAACCATCGTGGATACCACAATTTCCGCCCTTTTTAGCCCACGAGAATACACTGTAGCACAGGGCTTGCTCCAGTTTACCGTAAATTCTATCAATAACCTGTAAATATTGTACCAATGGCTCGTAGCTATCGCTAACAGCGGTTGTCAGTGGTGTGGATCTGGAACGGTCCCTTATATTTGGCGAGGCTCCGTGCACTAGCAAAAGTTGAACCTCTTTGGTATAATTTCTTGCTGTAGCAATAAGAAATGGCGCCAGATAATTGATACATTGAGCCTTGATCTTAACTTTCGTCATCTTGTAAAAGGAGCTGAATACCATATTTATGTATATGTTCTAAATATTTAAATTAAAACATAAAATGTAGCAGTTCAGTTTTAGATCACCGGCTTCATTAGTTATAGGATATATCTACCTCTTTCGCAAGCAAGAGCTTCACCAACCCGACGCGTCCACAGTAGGAAGCTACATCTAGTGGTATATTTCTATGAATATTCAGAGAACCTATATCTGCTGTCTTCTTGAAAAGCAATAGGGTAATGTCGAGACAACCACCGTCGAGGGCCACATGAAATAGTGTTGATCGATCGAGTATAGGTGCACAAATGTTTGTATAGTCAAATACAAGGTAGAGCAATTTCTATCCAATACGTTCTTTAGCCTCCATATCTCCTTTGCTATTGAGGGGTTGCCTCATAGCATCCACTCTACCACCCGCAGCGTCAAGACGAACGGCTATACCAGCATTGGTTGTATTAACTGGCTGCCATATCACCCTTAGGTCCCTCTTAATAATACGGCCGATATGGTCGGTGAACATTGGGACGTTGGATCCCTTCAAAAGCCCATTTTCCACAATGAATCTGCGGACCAGAGAAAGCTTGCCTTGGCGTCACCTTCTCCAAGAGATCGGGTTGATTGGGGAATTTCCCTTGTATAAACTCTGTGAGAGCATGACAAAGACCATCGTTACGGCAGTTGATAGAACCTCCCCGGACCTGTTGTTCCTTATCGTAGTATTGAAGTTTAGCGATGTGCATGCTGCGAAACAATGCTCCAAAGCAGAACCCCAATGACAGCAACTTTCTTGCCTTGATAGTCAACGGTATGGTCCTAATGGGCCGTATGAAAGACCGGCTTCTTAAAAGTCTTGATCCTAAGATATATGAAAAATGGGGCGGGACTAAAAAAAGCCTCTCGCACTGATAACTGCATTAGGTTCCAGTAGCCCCTCTCTTCCCCCTCAGTGCTTGGCCTTTATACAACATTTAAAAGTTGACTCGTTCTAGCTCACACCTGAAATTTCACAGTTGAAATAAAAGCTCTCAAGGATTACCTGTTTGTTGCCGATGAAATTGAGATATTTCTAGGTTTTACCTAGCGAAAAAAGTATTCGGACCCCTTATGGTTCTTGGCGTATTTGTACAATAGGAAGCTAAGGGTGTTAACACAGGCTGGGTAGGTGCTGAGGAGCCAAGTGCCTCCAAAGTGGCCTCATATTCAATGATCTCTAACGGGATGCCCGATCGTTTCAGCAAGATGCCGGCCGCAATACCACTGATTCCACCGCCAACAACGAGAATCTTCCAGTCCTCCAGTCCAACCACCTAGGGCTACTTTCTCCACATTACGTCCCGCAAATAGTCCTCAAGAGCTAATTCCTCGCATCCATCGTCATAATCAGAGAGGTTTCCCGGGCTATTGATCAGAGTCTCATCGTTGAAATTACGATAGACTTCTTCCTCGGGAGGAACGAAAGCGTATTACGAGCGCCTTTCAGTAGATATTAAAGAGCCTTCTCCTTGACCATCCTCTCGTTGTTGTGTGATAGGATATAGTTATAGAACCAGCTGTATCCGATTCGTCCTTGGACACAGGCATTGTTTCCAGCTCCTTATTGCCCGTCACCTGCAACAGCGCTAGGCGAAGGGCGTTGGGTGAGGCATCTTCAATAGCTTTTCAAACAAATCTCTCATTAATATCGTAGCTAGGCACTACGTAAACACCGCTTATCTCGTTGTCAACTGGCACTTCCGTCATGGTGGAATAAGTGTTGTCAGTGGTCAGTCCGCTCCAGAATGAAAATATGCGGTGTGCGAAGGCGTGCTTCAGAAAGAGCCTGAACCTCTGTTTATTTCTTAGGCATTAAATAGAGCAAACGCAAATGTCTGCAGCCTTAATTCAGCGCTGCTAATACTGCCAACGGTCATACCGCAGACTCTTTCTGGGGAATAGGCCACACCGGAAAGAGATGGGAGGTTTCTCCCAAGTTTCCGACCAAGGAGTAAGCATGTATCATATATGATGGCTAACCATGCCTTCCCTACTCCATCATCCGTAGACAACAGGGGGTCAAAAAATATCGGAATCATTGTTCGAGGCCCTCTGAGAACAGCAGAAGACAGGTCGAAACACACAGACCAGCAACACATGAAGTATATAGTTAGAGAGATTCGGAAGTTGTGACATTTACATAAGCACACACACAATCGATATACGCACTTAAACCAATGCTTCCTATTGATATTTACAATTAAGGGCAGTTAATATAGAGTTAAATGGCTTTTCAATTGTGCCTGTAGCATCTGCCACTATTGCCAGGGGCAACTTAACTAGACAAAATCAAAGATCTATTACTCTATGTATTCCTATTAAGATTTAAGCTTGAACAAAAGCTGGCTAGAGATAATTAACTAGTATCTGTCTAGTAGAGAGGCTGTTATACTTGATTAGATATAGAAGTTCTGTGCTATCTGCCCAAAAGAATTGAGCCGATTAGCAATAATCAAGAAAAGGGCTGCGAAGGCAATGATATGTCTGGTAATCTAAATACTTTAGATGATGATTATTCTGAGAAAGAGTTAAGTCTTATGTGGATTAGAATATAGAGAAAACAAGCACTACATAAGTAGGCTTACAATAAGATCTCGGAGTTTTAAGATGATAGAGATAATAGCCTTCAACTTCTTAAAATAGAGTATACAGGCGCGGTTAGACAGAATTCGGAAGAAGCCAAGGCAGCCAAATGGATTTGAGATTGATAAACTATAGTAGTAGCGAGAATCGTTTTCTACAGAAGTAAAAGAAACCGTATTTTGTTTAAAATTAATTTTAAGAAGGACTTTGTTTTCAGAATAATTTCCTGGAGATCAGTTATTACACACTTAATACAACAAAACTATCGCAAAAAATATATAACCTAGGCGGCCTCCTGTAGGTCATGATTCGTGGCATATTTGTAATGTTCGACATACCGATATCCAACAGATTCAGCTGGACATTCAGGTCTTAGCGGTGCAATTATGATAGTTAGATATCATATGATCTGTTGGATCCTGCCGCAGCTTACTTGGGTATACCAACCCGCGGGTTTACAGGGTTGGGGGTTTTGGGTTCAACATTAGAACCCGACCCGCGCAAGGCCTACCTGTGCTTCGTTCACGGTGTTTTTGTCACTATCGGATAGATTTTGGAAAGTGTTCGCATATCCCATGATAGCGCGGTTGCTGAACGTCGGGTTACTTTCTATTGCTTTTCTCGATAGGGCCGCAGATTTGCGTCTTTTGCGCAACCGTTTTGCTTCGGAGCAGTACCGGCTATCAGAGAGGTCCTGTGCTCTTGTACAATCGACACTCTTGCTGCTGTCCTCCCAGCTATGATGTTGACTCCGGATTCAATGGTTTGTTGCAGTATCGGCGATCAATCTATCGTATTCAGGGACCATAATCGAGGGCGAGGGGAGCGGGCGCCAGGTTTATAACACCTAGTCACAACTTACAATACCTATATGGTATCAATATCTGTTTAATAATTTTAAACAATATTGTATAATTAATTACGATCTCTAATAACTGACTTGCAACTACCCGTTACTTAATTTAACTAACCCCGCCGGGCCACTATGCCTGCGCACCTAACTAATCCTTGCCGTATGCTGTCGTCTATTGATCACGCATGTCGTTGGCTTTGACTTTTCGCTTAATTACTCCATGAGAACTTTGCTGCTGAGAAGGGAAGCGTCTCCACGCAAACTCATACATTATCCCAGAGTCTTGTTCAGCCATGCAAACACGGTTCTCGCCACTTCTTGTGAAGCACCAGTCTGGCAGTGATAGCCAGCGACCCCGTGGTAATGATGTAGAGTACCCTTATCGCCTAGAGCCTCCTTCACCTTCTTCGGCTGACCGGGGTAATTGTTTTCGTACTCGGCGTCTCCCACAAACACGGGAACGCTAATCTTGTCAATGAAATCCCTCACTGCAAATTGCTTGACTTGGGTAAAAAAGTCAGAGGGCGAGTGCGTGTTGAACGTCCACATGCCGTAGTCCAAGCCCCAGGCTGCACCGGTGGAGAGCTTCCCGGATTCTCGCCGCGAGAGCATTTCGTGGTCGAATTGCGTCGTGTTACCCGCCTCATAAACTTCTCGGAGACCATCTGGTATCTGTAGCGCATACCCTTCATAGAGGTCCCAGACCGCGTCGATGAGGACCGCTGCGGCGAGCCGGGATTCGAAAGCGACTGCACGGGTAGCCCCGTAGCCACCCATCGAGTTTCCAAGAATTGCAATCCGGTCTTTGTCCACGGCCTGCGACTTTTCAGAAAGAAGGTAGTCCACCACAGGAGTGACGACAACCTCCCAGTCTGGCCTGAAACCTAGGCCCTGTTCTCGGCGCACAGTATTCTGCCCCGGACCTTCGTAGGTAATGGCATTCCACCCTCGAGCAAGGGCGGCCACGACGTAGCTGTGGTAAGAATCTTCTTGCGAACCGTCGAGGCCGTTGCCGACAATCAATGTTGGCAGGTTAGCGTCTTTGCTCTCGGAGGCGGCGTACCAAATGGCCTCAACTGTGAAGTTTCCCTGGGGAGCCGGAATGCGGACACGTTCACCAGGAATAGGCAAGGCGGCCAAGCCCTTGTCAAAGGCTGCCATCTGCTCCACCCATAGGCTATCAATAAGCGGGTCGCTCCAGTTGCCAGTGAGGAAGAATGAGGCACGACGGAAGTATTGGGACGCTGAGAACCAGGTGTCTCGGACATTGACGGGGTCATACGCGTTGTCCGGGTTTTCAGCGTCGGCCTTGGTCTTGTTGGCAAGCGCAAGGAACACCTGGGTGAAAGAGTCCATGTCTCCCGCTTTAATGTCTTTGGCGGCGCCAAGAATAGGATTGATATCCGCACCTCCAGCAGTGGCCTGCGCGAGGGGGACCAGCAGATCAAAGTGAAATGTCGGATCCGAGCTCAGCATCAGTATGGGCTGATCGTCGCTGGTGTTGCCCACAGCAGCAGCATCGGCAAGGCGACTATGCGCCAATGCGGCCAATAGCGTACTTGTGTAGATAGAAGAAGAGACCTTCATGGTGCACAAGAAGAGATGAGGCTCGCTTTCAAGGTCCTTACAGACAATTCTCAATCGATATCGTTAATTGATTCCCTACTTTCACAACAGATATTTCACCTCTACTTATACTTGAGCCCTACTCGCAAGATGTGTCTGAACTAAACCAAATTGGGTATATGCTTTGCGACGGAGCCTGTTCATTGGTCCGAGTATTACCGGCCTTACCGCGTAATTGTGCCATGTACTAATTTTACCACACGGATTACCAGAATAGTGGCGAAGACTGGCTATGCCACACTCTGGTTGATGCCCTTTGAAGAAACAACCTTAAATACTAGAGTGACGCTTATTTCAATTCGTCGCAAAAGCTAACCTCCTTTCTGGCATCGTAGACGTCATCATGGTTAACCGGGGACGTTCAAAAGGCTGTGTTACGTGCAAGCAGCGACGTGTCAAATGCGACGAGGCGAAGCCCGAATGCTGGCATTGTCAGCGCCTCGGACTCCACTGCGAAGGCTACGAAACGAAGTATCGCAACCTAAAGTTCAGAGACCAGACCCACAAGTTCTTCAATTCAGTTGTTCAGAGCCAGGCGTGTTTGCCTAGCCCACGTCCGCTGGCCGAGCCCGACACCTCCGTGCCCTTCTTCCTTAAACATTACGTCGAGATGGGCCGCAATCTGGAATCTGCGCGGGGGCTCTTCGAGATTCTGATTCCTGTCTACCGCTCCGAGCGGCAGGGGTCGCCGCTCTCGCTTGCCATATCCGCGGTGGCTTCAGGGATACTCTCCCTGTGGATGCATAGCGTCACAGGCTTCCAATTGTCACGGAAGTCTTACACCAAGGCCATCGCGTGTATGCGCAATGCCGTAAACGACCCCGTACAACGGAGTAATCCGGCAACCGTGCTGGCGGCGCTGGTGCTGCAGCATTACGAGAGTGTTGCCGCTGTATACGACCTTCGCTCTCCCTCACGTGTACACCACAACGGCGCAGTGTCTTTGCTCCAATTTACGGAGTCTGCCTGTATTAATGGGACGAACGGCGCATACATTCGGAGGTTCATGCTTCATACCGAGGTTGCATCGGCGATGCGCCAGAAAAGGCCACTGCAGAACATCGCATATTCGTGGATTGAAGGCAAACACTTGATGGCTGCGCCCGATAACCCAAGCTCAGTACTTGATGTTATTGGGGTATCTGTCGCCGCGTTTCAGGCCGATTATATACGCCTAGTCAATCAAGCTGGTGCCAAGTTTTTGTCACGGCAGGTTGTAGAGGATTGGAGAGCAGAGGCGAAGCGCATCGACAAACAGCTTCTGGATTGGGCGCAAAACGTGCCGGACAACTGGCGGCCGCGAAAACTCATAAGTGGTCAAGATATCGACGAATCTATTCCCACCTATCGATCTATCTGCGAGGTCTATCCTTCTTGCCAGATTGCCAATATTTGGAACGTATGGCGTTTTCAACGCCTGTTACTCGTCAAGATCACTGTCCACTGCCTCCAGACGATCATAGAGCTGTTTCAAGTTGAGCTTACAGAAGATCAAGCCTCAGGTATAGATGTGGATATATTCGAGTGCCAAGAGACTCTCCAAGCGCTGGTGGACTCTGTGTGCTTCAGCGTCCCCTTTTTCCTTGGCAACCGAACCAAACAGTCAACCATCACCGACTTTACCGACTCGGAGATTTTGATCCCAAGCTATCATTCACAACCACCGGGGGATAAAAACAGCGTGAATACGAAGGACCACAGTGCAGGAAGATCTAGAGACGACCACAGGGGCTCTGCCATCGCCCAAGGTCCATGGCACGTAATGAGTCCACTGAGCCACTTGTTGACCCTATTCTCGGAAGACAATGGCCAGTTGCTTGCAAGCTTTCTCAGGCCTGGGCACCAGGAGTGGATACGAGAGCAATTTCAGCGTGTAACCACCTTGCTTCATCTCTCGCCAAAAGAGCATAGCGAGGACAGGGAGGCCTTGTTTGGCTTATCGGCTGGAAGGGCTAAAACTACCAAGACTGCCTATCTCGCGAGAGGGGTCAGGAAAGGCTTAATATTTATGAGTGGCCCCTAAAGCCAGGGGCTTCCGATGAAATGAAAATACAATCGCCGTCTAGGTATACCGCTAACTTCTTTATTTCGTTCCGAGTAGGCGACCTTAGCGCCCTCACCGGCATTATACTGAATTTAGAAGAATGGATAGCACCTTTCTAGGCCTTGCCATAACCCAGAAACGCTTTGGAGTTGTCAAGTACAAAATCTATAGGAAAATGAATAAATGCGTACTGGCCGCATTGGCTTGCGGTATACTATCTTAGCTGCCTTGGGCCTGCGGTGCCAACAACACACTGAGCACTCCACAAAGGTGTCAGGTGTGTCCTTGGTAAGCATTCAAGGCCTTCTTCTGACATAGCAGTTCAGCCCACACTGTATTGGATGGTGAACAACCTACCATTGGGAATATATATGCACGATGGCATTATCTACCAAGCAGAGATTCATCTAACTGGTATTGGACAAATGATCAGCACTTCTATTCTGATCCTCATTTAAGCAACCCGAAACAAATTCCGTACCAGCCCCACGGGCATTACGCCTTCAAATTGGGGTAGGGGATGGGGAGGACCGTGATACGAACCGTCCAGTTAGAACACTGCCTACTGCGAGTGCTGCCCAATCCTCAGCCGCTCTCAGGGTTGCTGGCGCTGTTTGTATATGATCACGAATGGGCTCGTCCCATCCAATTATTCTTGTCTTCGCTAGAATCTGGGACTGAATTGGCGCTGTAGGTGCACACTTGCAATGCTTAGGTGGGGGTGGGTAGAGCCCATTCACCAACGAAACTGATCGGCCGAATCAAACCACTTGGGCGACGCCTGATATATTCGGAAAGCGTCATGAACAGGATCCATGAGCTGTAGGCTTCTACAAAGTGTGGCCTTGGAAATAAATCTCTTGAGTCATCCGCATATGATATACAGTGAAAACTGCATCCGAGAAGGACAGTTCTCTGTCGTCAAATCCGGGTCGGACGATTGTGTCAACTCAGTTTCAGCTGGGATTGCGAGGTGCCAGGAACCACTCGGTCAGGTTCATGCATATCCAAGGGCGATGGGAGATGAGGTTGACGAGAGCACGGATAGACATCGTTCGGTATCAGCAACTTGGCTCTGGTATCATTTCTTGATGAGATATACCACTGCAGGAACGGGGTGCTTTTATTGTGTACATACTTGATCCTTGGAATCTGCCATAGCTGACTGCCAGTGGTCTATAGACAACATCTAAATCCTCTGCCTCTTATGATGGACGCTTGTCAATCATACTGGGCAGAGACTAGGTCGCTGCCGTGACACCGATTTTCAACAGGAAGCAGGAGTTTATTGCTCTTACTGTCGAAAAGAAGACATCACTGGATGCGGTTATCCTGAATACTCGCGTCCATCTGGATAATACCAGCCCCTGTCACGAATCGTGGAGTACACTGGATGTCGTGAGGCAACCTCGCACTAGCAGGCATGAGATCGTACTTGTAGCACGACGGAGGGAAATATATGGACTACACGATCCCTGGTGTGAGTTAATATGCCTATCCCCTAGATTGCACCTAACGGTCACACACGACTGCCGCGGGAAACTAATGCCGTCGTGTCGGTCTCACTCTAAGTATCATTACAGCTGCACCCAGTGCGTGCGGCTCTAAATGGATGCGACAAAGTTGATGCTTTTTCCGGCCCTACCGCAGGAAACGGCTCCCGTGTGACTTTCAAAGCTATGAGGCTTAGACTTCACCGCAGAGAGCCTTGAGAATAGCACGGCTACAGTTGTTTCGTGATGCTGCAAACACGTAATTGTGCGAGGTTATCAGTGGTATTAATATTGGGGCTAAGAAATAGAATCTTCTCTTCGTCCTCCCAGGCCAACTCATATCCAGCCGAGCTTCTCTAAAGTGCATCTAACCAGGGATGTCGTAAGAGGTCCTCTGCCGAAACCCGATCAGTGGGATTTATCTTCATCATCGCATGCAGAAAGGAGGCAAACTCGTCCCTGACCTCTTGGTCGAGGCCTGGCATAAAGGCTTCCGACGCCAGGCCTGACCGATCCATTGGCGGCGCGTCTTTGATCCGGCCATCATCATCAAAGAGGGTTTGGACCAGGCTCGTATTGCCTCTCTCCAAAAGCTCATTGGGAAAGGGCCCAAACAGGTCCACAATCTCCGCCAGGTGCTCCTTGAGCTCATAATGACCGTCCGGGGGGACCGACCCGCTGAACATGCGAACCGCCTGGAAGATCTCGAGCACGACAGCCCCCAGGTTCCAGAAATCGGTGCTAACATCCCACGGCGCTTTGATAAGGACTTCGGGTGATCGGAGGGCCACGGGTTGAATCATATCGCAGAGATGTCGGTCCGCCCAGCTGGAGACGCCCCAGTCTCCCAATGCAATGCCGAACTCAGTAGGGTGCCTGCTGTTGGCCTCGTTAAAGTAGTAGTGGCGTAACGATGTTGAGGGCACGACAGAGTACTCTTCCTCGGACCGATCCTGCTGGGGAATCGCAACATCGGCCAGGTAACCGGATTCGATCAAGGAAGGGTCCCTGAACTTGACGAAAATGTTATCCGGTTTGATATCTGATGGAGAATTGGAAGGATATTAGCATAGTGGCACATGACTTAGCAAGACCGCATGGAGACCATCCTCATACCGGTATGAATGACATTATGTTCGTGGGCAAAATCGAGAACCAGCAAGAGCTGGATGGTGAACCTCCGCATCACCGAGTTCGGCAGTCTGCTTTCAGCGAACCAGGCGCCGAAGCTCCGCAACGTCTCGCCCATTAGCTCAAAGACAAGGCAGACGTGAATTCCATTAGGTCCACGATGCTCAAAGTCATCAAGGAGATGACAGACATGACGGTACCCTAGCTGGTGGTGGTCTCCGAGGCGGAGATGGGTCAAGATCTCTCGCTCAAAGATGGGGGCTTCCGTGCCATCATAGCATGCAGCACTGAGCACTTTGAGAGCTCGGAACTCATTCTCCGGGCCGGATCTGTGTATCTGTCTTAGCTCTGTTCCTTTGCTTCGGGCCTTCTTTTTTATCTACTCACTCTACGGGTTCTAGATCTCGCACCAGCCAGACTGTTGAATACACACCGTATCCGATCTTGTTCAGGACTTTGTACCGGTGTTTGAACACATCGCCGATGTACACGGGGTGAAACCCTCCCAGGCGATACACCTGCGTGCCTTCCTCAATATCAGTCTTTGCGTCCTGGGGCATTTTGTAGGCTGATTTGTATCTTATGAGGTTCGTGGTAAAGGTGGGTGTTGGAGGCGTAGACCTAGTCCGATACTCCGTCCTACTGCGGGCGCTAGGCCCTTCTTCCCCTCACTGCAACACTTGACCGCACAGGACAGGATCGCCAGAGGACCTAAATTCGGATTTGACCCAGCTCTTATATCAGACCCCCAGAGTGGCCCTGCTTGTTATGGTACGTATCAATCTTTTGCCTGTATATCATTCACCGGTTACGCTCGCAAAAGTCAAGTATGATACACCACCATACAGACAGGCTCTCGTCCCCGCCGCGGAGGGGTTCATGAGCGACTCAAAGCATGGTAGTGCAGTATTGTCCCAACATCGCCTTTCGGACCGTTTGCGTACTACTCGCGGGAAACGATGGGTCATTCCTCAAAGTTCTGCACATAAATTGTCGGTGCTGAGGCAGGTAGGGAATATCTGGCATAGAACCGTGATAGAATGGGGGTTCGATACGGCATACCTTTTGATTCTGCTACGTCGGCCGCCCAAGACCAGGGATACTATACTGGCGAGCTTCGCACCGTCCTTTAGACCAACTCACCTTCCCTCAGCCAGAGTGGCACTGAGATACCCAGGCTCTGACCGATGATACTTTGTGACTCGATGGCCTGGTTACGAATTTACCTGACTAGGAAGAATCCAACCTCTAACAGTCTTTGATTGGGGAAAGTATCAACTGGCAGCCTCTCGGGCATTTGGATCTGTGATACTGTTGACAATCTTGAGTATTCTAGTATATTGAAGTATGTACACGGAGAGAGGGATAGACAGCTTTCCGCAAGACATGGGAGAATGCTCTTAAGCGACAACCTCCTTGCCAGTTCCGTACTCGATGTTATACACCGGCTCATCCAGCGGCGCGGTGCTGCCGAGACCGCTGGGACACGAGGGCTGGTTGCTGACGGAGAGGTCGAGGGTGCACACCTCGTCGACGCCGTAGTGGCAGACAGGGTCGGCGATGTTGTAGAGCACGTGGTTTTGGGCGACGAAGCTGTCGGCCTGGCTAAGGCACGAAGAGAGAAAGTTCATGCTGTTGGCTGCCGTGAGGGGCAGCTTGCCGTTGTCCATGAGATCAGCGCACTTGCTAGGGTCAACGACCTCATACTTCATATTAATGGCCCCTCCCCTGTGCGGGTCGTCCTTCGCGGATTGACCGAAGGCGAGGTAGTTCCAAGCGTCGTAGGAGATGTCGTACGCGCCGCCAGAGGTGTCAATCTTGAGGATGTGGAGGGAGCGGCCCTTGTGGGTGACCTTGACGCAGATGTCGTTGCAGTCGACTGCGCTCGGCCAGTAGGCCACCCGGTTGGTGTTGATCTTGCAGCCGACAACGCCGACTGAGGATGAGTACTGCTCGTGAGGAGTAACGCCTGCACTTGTGGCCCGGGGGACGATGGGGATGCTGGCAGCAACGGCCAGCGACGCCGAAGCAGCAACCAGGGCAAGTTGATGGAACATGATATAAATACACGTGTTGGAATAATTAATCTGAAGGAGTGAGGTGAACGCAAAGATTCAAGTAGTGACGTGAACACAAAGATTCAAGGAGTGACGTGAACAAAAGATTCAAGGAGTGTGGTTGTAGCGCATAAAGAACAATAAAGGACGAACACCATATGAAACACAACATGAGGCGCCATAGCCTCTATTTAACGGCGACAACCCGTACACTCGTTGCTCACCCTGAAATTGCGTTGCGCTCTAGTTGCAGGCAAATTGAGCAATATCCTATCTGAGCTAGTCGAAGGAATCGAGGCGTGAAGGATCGTAGCATGCCTGTTCTCTGACAGTAAGCCTGAATAAGAAGGTGGTACGGTGCACCCCTGAGCCATATCTTGCCAGGGTAGATTTGACATGAACATAGTGGGTCAACAGTATTGTAACACCTTTAACAGGACTACAATACTGACTTGCATATGTGTCAGCAGGTAGGTAACATAGACGAGGGTGCGGACTCAAGCGACTCAACCCTTTCATTCCTTTCGGCCCGGCCGACAAGGTCGGTAGTTCCCGATGCTTCGGCACGAGCCGAGGGCGATTTCATTTATAAATACTAATCTTGATATATGAATGACTGGCGGAATGATACCACAGTCAATCAAAGGCTTAGTCATGCCATGAGACTCGAGAGCAGTTTAGGCACGTTTGATTCAATACCACTGACCCAGAATGAGGAAGGGGCCAGATGATTTGAAGTGATACCAGAGGAATCCAGCTGACAATTGGCCGAGTGTATGGATATCCGTGGCCGGCAGCTCCCTGGCTCTATGGGTTTATAAAAACTACCTTGTACTGATCAAGGTCCAAGTTAATGTGAGATAACCGAGAGACATCCATAGCATTGCCCCCGAGAAGCTCCCTCAAAAGGATAGAATGATATTTACCATCATTTACTGGAGCAGAGGGTAGAGACTGAGAAAGTGGCCTTCGGGTTTAAGAGACCAATTCCTCCGAAGGCAGGGACTTTGTGTTTAAGACCTTCTACGGCCGGAATATATACCTGCTAACGTTCCCTCTTAGTGTACCAATTACAGGGCTCCCGGGCAAATCTGGGAGAATGAGAGAGTAAATAATTCATTGAATGAATATCAGAGTCTGTGTTTATCAGAGTCTGTGTTAAAACATAAGGAGGTTCCTGACAATATCTATAGCTCTACCCTTCCAGCACTCCAGTTTAATATAAGCATAACTCATCGACTCATTGTGGCTACTTCGTTCTGCGCCGGGGAGGCAAGAATAACGTGGGCATTGGTACCTCCATAGCCCAGTGATGTTACTCCGATTCGATCGGCAGCATCTAGCTTCAAGGTGCTTGTCAATGGACGGAATCGGCCAGTGAAGTCGCACGCAGGATTAGTCTCGCCGAGCTCGCGGAGAGGAGGAACAACCCCGCGGGCCAATGACAGAGATGCCTTGATGACGCTCATTAAGCCGGATGCAGTCTCCGAGTTGCCGCAGTTGCCCTTGTTTGAGCCCACATAGATGCAGGAGCCATGTGGTACACTGACGGTGTCGAATGCCTTGCGGAGACCATCCAGCTCCAGCGCATCTCCCATGCTCGTACCCGATCCGTGCATCTCGACGTACTTGATTGTCTCTGCCGAGATACCGCTAGACTGAATGGCATGCTCGATGGTGCGAGCCTGGCCAGTGCTGGAGGGTACGGTGAAGCCAGCCTTATCGATAGCGCCGTCCGTACCGATGGCATGCCCCTCAATGACGGAGTAAATTGTGTTTCCATCTCGAACGGCCGCATGTAGGGGTTTCACGACCACGGCAGCGACGGCATCAGATGGAACGGACCCGTCACTACGGCTATCAAAGGGACGGCATTCGCCGCTGGCTGAGAAGACTTGCCCAGGAGATGTAATGTAACCTCCTTCTTGAGGGTACACCACCGACGTTCCACCAATAAGGACAGCCTCGCACTCACCACCACGGAGTGCATTCAAGCCCACATGCAACGCAACAAGAGAGCTGGCACAGGCAGTATTCAGCGTCACATTGGGTCCGGTGAGATTGAGCTTGTACGAAGTGAACGTGGATATGTTCTCGTCAAGTAGCGTTCGATACCGCCGCTTGAATGCAGAGCAGGGAGCGGGTGTGTTCGGGTCATGAATGTACGAATTGGCAGCCGCGCCAATGAACACTCCGACTTTATTCTCGTCTTTCTTGAACAGTTGGACATCGGCATCTGTTAGCGCTTCGGAAGCTACTTTAAGGAAGATGCGCTTCTATACAGAGTTTAGTAGAGATCGATAACCAAAATAGGGTGGTGATATGTACCTGCGGGTCCAAAGTTTTTGCTTCCTCCTCTGAGAGGCCCCAGTCACCAGGGGTGAAGTCATCTAGGCCGTTGATAGTCCCATAGCGGGGAACGAATATCTCATCTGCGTCGATGTCGAAGTGGCCATGGGCTGCTGCACTCGGTGCGGTAGTGATTCCATCGCCACGGTCGATCAAAAGATCCCAGTATTGCTCCACATTGTCCGCGCCAGGGAAACGACCAGCCAGGCCAACAATCGCGAACTTCTCATCTAGTCGATTGAATGAGCCGATAGAAGAGGTAGGAGTCGAAGTACCGGATGCGCTTGCACTAGGAGCCATGTCGGTGGACGACGTCGAAGGGGGACTGGGTTCGAAGTTGACGAGCCCTGCCAGAAAAGCAGCCTGCTTGTCGATAGTTGTTTGCTGAAAGCAGTCCAGGAGGCGGATACCAGCGGCAGGGAACCGCTCATTAATTCGCTTGTGCAGTTGGACGAGGAGGATACTGTGGCCACCAGCATCAAAGAAATTGACATCTTCCGCGGGGGGCTTAGATAGGCCTAAGACATCGACCCACATTAGGGATACGATAGAGGCCAAAGAAGCCCTTACTTGATCGGCATCAGGCTTTCTTTCCTTTGCGTTGGGGGTCAGTGCCTTCGGCGTTGGGTCCGTAGAACCAGCTTTGGATACTGAAGCTGTAGGAATGCGAACCTTTTCGGCAACCGCCGAATGATCGACTTTGCCATTCGTATTCAGCGGAAGCTCCGAAACAGCATGGATGTTAGTGGGAACGGAGTAAGAGGGCACATCTTCCATCAGCCTCCCGCGGATAATGCTGCAATCGACGGTTTCTGGAGTGACAAAGGCAACCAGGGAGCCGTCCACGACTTGCACAGACACCATCATGACTTCCGGGCTGTGGTCCAGGATACTCTTTTCAATCTCATATAGATCCATGCGGTAGCCGCGGAGCTTGATCTCTCGGTTGTTCATCCGACCACCGATCAAGACTTTGCCGTCCGCCGTCAGCGAGCCTCGATCTCCACTGCGATACAGACGTCCGGTTCGACCATGCAGCTCAATTGTGCGGAATTTTGTGGCGGTGAGCTCGTCCTGGCCTTTATACCCCCGAGAGACCTGAGGCCCAAAGATGCAAATCTCGCCAGTTTCCCCCACCGGCATAGGCACGTCTGATCCTTCGCTGCAGATCACGACATCGGTATTTGGGAAGGGCTTGCCGATTACAGAAGGGGACGGACTCTCCAAACTCTCAGGATCTTCGGCGATTGGCTCTGAGGTGACGATCACCCTGCAATGGTACCATAAGCAGTTGCTTCCATAAAGGCAATATACCCGAGATGGATGAGGGAACTTACGTGGTTTCCGTTGGTCCATATGCATGTAGGAGGCTCACTTTCTGCCGCCATGCCCGTAGCAATCCAGTAGACGACGCCTCGCCGCCAACGGAGATCAACCTCAGATTGGGGAGCGGTTTGCTGATCGGAACAGTTGCGAGCACCGATGGGGTGGTATGGAAGAAGTTGATACGGTTCATCTCCAGGACGTCGGCTAGATAATCACCAACCAGCAGAGTGGGGTGCTCCACGAAGCACAGGGTAGCGCCATAGGAGAGAGTGACCGCCCACTCAAGGATCGATGCATCAAAGGCGAATGAAGCGAACTGGAGAACCCTACTGCCAGGGCCAATATGGACCAAGCTGCGAGCTGCACTGACGTAGTGGGCCACATTCGCGTGCTCCACCATGATGCCCTTGGGCTGTCCGGTAGAGCCAGAGGTGAATACCACTGGGAGACCGAAGTTAGCAACCCGAGTAGTGGGATAATTGACAATAAGAAATCGGCGACATATACTCACTGTATGCCAAGTCGGTATCTACTGTAGCCTGCCCGTTACAATGTGTCCGTGGGTAGCTGGTGAGCTCGCCCTCGAATAGGGTGTCCAATACAATGACTGACGGGGGCTTGTCAACATGCGAGAAAAGTTCGTCAGCTATTGCGGTGTCCGTGACGAGATAACCGGGTTCGCAAGTACGCAGAATTGACTGCCTGCGACTGGTGGGCAGTGCTTTATCAACCACCACAAAACAGCCTCCTGCCTTGAGGATACCGATAATCCATAGTAGAAGAGTAAACCCACGATCAATGTGCACCGCCACGGTTTCACCCGCCGTGATCCCATGGCTGTATAGATAATGAGCAATCTGGTTCGTTGCCCTATCAAGCTCCCTATATGTCATTTGCTGGCCACGTTCAGCACAGGAAAGTGCAATAGCATCTGGCTGGGCAGCGCATCGAGCCTCGATCCACGTATGCACCCTGCATGAGCTGATCTCGTCCACAGCGTCTATGGTCGGTCCTGAAATGATATTCGCGACAGTATGGGCTTGGAGATATGGCAGCTCGTTAACCTGGAACTTCGGATTCTCTTGCGATAGTTTGACCGTGTCCATGAATTGTTTCCGCATAGTTTCGATCGCCACGGTGTCAAACACGGCGGGGTTGCTTATAACCTAGTCATCGTCAGTCCATGTACGCGATCTGCATAATACATTCAAGTCCACGTACACCTAAATCGACTCCATTCTGGGTTTCAAGGAAGCAGAAGAACAGATCCCAAACACCTTCGACCGGGTAGATGGTGCAGTTCTCGTTTGCCAGTTTAGGGGAGA